TATCATAAGTTATACATCAATTTAATAATAAATAAACATATTATTCACTTGTTTATCATTTTCATTACTTAAAAAATGTTTTACTTTCGTTTTAAATCTTTGGATATTGTCAATTGATCTAATGATACTTTTACGCTTCTTACACTTTATATTAAAGGAAACATGCTTTATATTTAACGAGAATACTTACGAACAAATATCGGGAACCACCATGGGCACCAAATTTGCACCAAGTTTAGCAATATCATTCATGCACGAATTTGAACAAAAATTCCTAAAAACGTACCCAATTACACCATCGGTCTGGTGGCGCTACATAGACGACATCTTTTTGATATGGCCACATTCTCGACAGGAGTTGAACTCCCTCATCATGGCCTTAAACAGTCAACACAACACAATAAAATTTACCTCTGACATCAGCGATAAAGAGATCCACTTCCTGGACGTAACGGTCAGAAAAGATACCTACGGGAACTTATCTACCACATTATACACTAGCTAAACCTACTGATGCTCACATGTACCTCCACTAATCATGGTTTCATCCGAAACATCAAAAGAAAAGTATACCATATAGTCAAGCTCTCAGAATTAGAAGGATATGCAGCACTGATGAATCATTTCTAGAATGCAGCAATTTACTTACCGATAATCTACATGCACGTGGCTATCCAAAAGCACTTATACGAAAAGCTATCAAGAAGGCGAAAATCAACCATCTTAATGACACCAAACACCACTCTTCACACGAAATAATACCGTTAATCGTCACTAACAACCCAAGATAACCTAACATTAACAAAATCATTAACAAATATGAACATTTACTAAAAACCGATTCTAACCTAGCAGATTTAACTAAGCACAGAATTTTAACAGTTTATCGTAAACCTGACAATCTTAGGAACGTCTTAGTGAAAATGCGGCATCCAATATATAGGTCAGTCGGGCAATACAATTCGAGAACGTCTGTATGGACATATTAATGATATACGTAATAAAAATGACGTAAAACCTGTATCTAAACATGTTTCCGCCGTCGACGTCACAGTTCTAACAACGACACCTAGGAACATAAACATCCACCTTGGAACAGAAGAAACCTACATTGAATTATTTAAAACGAAATCACCTAACGGACTTAACTTGATACAATAATGGAAATAACAGATATGAAAAAATATTCTAAGCAAGTACCAGCACCGGCGGATTCATTCAAACTTATATAAAACAAAATTACGGCAATGTTTAAAATGTAATAAATTCATCAAAGGATCCAAATCAAACTTCAACCGACACTACAAAACACATGAGAAAACAATTACGATGTTTATATGCTTCCATATTGTGATCAAGAATACACAAGAAGGGACATTCTAAAAAGGCACTGCCGTAAAATACACGGCATGGAAATGAACAGATACCAAACAAAAACGGAGAAAAGAACAACGCACTTAGACGAAAGAAAATCGAACCAGTAAAAACCGTGGCAACCACCTTTTTGATTGCGCGTACAACTATACCAAAATTTAGAATCGTTCAAGGACAAAAAAATTGGCTAGCCAAAAAGTTTACACCTGAACTAAATTGCACACAAATGATAAATGAAATGACAGTAGAAGAACCACTATCACCATTACCGAACTCTCCATTTAGATCCAATGAAAACTCGCCGACACATATACAATCTCAGATGTATTATAACAATTTGCCAAAATGCAAAAGACGATTTTCTCCACACAAAACACATGGACATAAAGATCTACTCGATCTATGGTATTTTTAATTAATAACAATAACTCCATAATAACTATAAACATGTAGTATTATTATTTTCTAATTACTCATATAAATAACTATATACGGACAAAAGAACCACCTAACAATAACTTCTATAAATAGATTTGATCACGTGACAAAAAGAACCGTCAAAACTGTACCTTAGTAGAATTTTTCTGATATATCTGTACTTTTGAATAGCCGAAACGTAGGTCTTTAATAAAACCCACTTTGTTTTCGTGTGTTTTACTTTCCTTATTCTTTTTATAAATCAGAGACATAGATAACAGAGATAGCTAGGCAACTTCCTAGCCTGTTAAAATATCACGCGTGCCTGCGAAACTTAAAACTTGTAGCAAGTAAAACTTATTAACCAGATATCAAAATCAGTAAAATAATACATTTTCTGAAAGCTTATGCATTTGTCTATGGTTGCAGGTTAAAATATTTACAGTTCCCATTTAAATAAATGATACATCAATTTTTAAAGAGAACTACTTAATAATTTTTGTTACAAAACTATTCATATGACGAAAAAACTGGCTCAGTGGGTATGTTCTGCTATGTTTTTCTAAGTGAAAGGTATTGAAAGTTACCAATATTTTAACATGCAGCAATAGATAAAAGATTTACCTTTCAAATGGTATATAATATTAAAGGATCAAATGTACATCCATTAAATTTTATTTGCTACAAAATGCCTTTTTTTCACTTTTTGATAGGCATGAGTGATATTTCAATGGAGTATATAGGAGCTGCTTATCTCTGTTATCTATATGTCTCTGTATAAATTTAACATTTATAAAATCACGGATCTTAATTTGTAATATAAATCCTTGATAAAATCTAGTGTTTGCACCAAACACCAAACAATTACACTTCGATCATCCTTAAGCTTATATGTTTTTTAAATAATAATTTAAATTCTTATTTGTTTCTTATATACAAGTACTACATGTACCTTAAATAGACTGTACATGTATACTACAAAGAAAGAATTATTTTAAAGAGTGTCATCGTATCGTATCGAATCGTATCGATTTATTCAGGGAATAGACATATACACACATATATATCAATTTGCATACAAATGTATATATAAAGACACACACATAAATGCAACAAAAATAATTATAAGATTAATTAATGAGTATGTTCCCTAGGATTGCCCATTAAGCCAAAAGCTTATTTCCAATGGGGTCCATTTACTGTAAAATTGTTACACTAACTTAATTATTAAGAAGTGAAAATAAATGAATTTTTTTTTGCAAAATTGTACAACAATCAAGACACATTTTCGATATAATAAGACAAGTACATTGTACACAAACAAAATGAAATAAATTTCGTTTAAACTAAAACATATCAAGTACAACATAAACAAGTTACAAAACCTTATCATAAGTTATACATCAATTTAATAATAAATAAACATATTATTCACTTGTTTATCATTTTCATTACTTAAAAAATGTTTTACTTTCGTTTTAAATCTTTGGATATTGTCAATTGATCTAATGTTGTCTGGTAAAGAATTCCAGTCGTTTGTGGCATTGTAGAAAAATGTATTTTTAACATAAGAATCATTTTGAGGCAAAACAAAATTAAAATTACTAGAGCTTAAATTGGATATTCTACAAACCTTAAACAATTCCTTTAAATAAGAAGGGATTTTGCTGAAATAAACTTTATGAATGTGGTTGAGTCTTAACTGTCTAACTCTATCATTGACATTTAATAATTTAAGATCGGACAGAACCTTATTTGTCACCGAAGTCCTAGGAGTGTAGTCTTTTATAAAGCGCACAACCTTATTTTGAGCTACTTGAAGTTTGTGCTTCAGTGACTTACTCAGTCCTTCGTATCAAGAAGATGAAGAATAATCAAAGTGACACAGCAAAAGGGCAGGACATATATAACTGTTTCTTTATTTCTTCCGATAAACAATTTTGTAACGGTATAGAAAATGTAATCTTCCATTCGCCTTTGAAAGAATGCTCTTGACAATTTTATCTCCTGATAGGTAACAATCGATATTCAAACCAAGATATTTAACTCCAGACGAAGACTTTATTGTTTGATAATTACATGAAATGGAAAAATTTTGTAGTTTATTAATTTTTGATTTAGAACCAAATAACATACATTCAGTCTTGCCCAGGTGTAGAGATAATTTATTATCAACTAACCAATCTGAGCATCGTTCCAAGACCTTTCCAAGTTTTTGGGCTATAATTTTTGGATCCTTATGCGAAAATAATATTGTGCTATCATCTGCATATAAAATTAACTTGCAATCAGAATCGATACTAGTTACCATGTCATTAACATAGCAGAGAAATAGAAGAGGACCCAAAATACTGCCCTGAGGGACCCCACACGTAATAGGAATTGAGTCAGAAAAAACTTTACCAATACTTACTTTCTGATACCTTCCTGACAAGTATGATTTAAACCAAGAAATAGATTTGACACCTAATATATCTAATTTATCACACAAAATATCATGATTGACGGTATCAAATGCTTTTTGTAAGTCCATCATAACCATACCAGTGAGTAACCCTTTGGAGCTATTTGTACGGATATAGTCAAGTAGGTAAATAAGACATGTGTCAGTTGAATGAGATTTCCGAAACCCGGACTGGTGTTCGTAAATTAGATTATTAGTTCTTAGAAATGACTCAAATTGTACATACACGGCCCGTTCAAGAATCTTGGATACAATACATAAAATACTAACTGGTCTGTAATTCCCGACATCTAGTTTACTATTCTTTTTGTGTAGAGGTTTTACTTTAGCAATTTTCATATCATCTGGGCCAACCCCCTCTGTTATTGAAGAATTCACAATATAAGTATAATTATAGGGATTTTTAACACATCATGCAGCACCATCTTTAAGAAATTTTGCAGGGATACCATCTAATCCAGTGCTTTTGCTTATATTAAGCCTACATAATTCTTTATATACAAACTCCTCACTTACATGATGAAGGTGAAACTCTTTTTGTGATATGTTCCTATAAAAATTCTTAATTGTATCGGATGCCACGTACACTATAAAAATTCTTTGCTGCCGGGAGTTTCTGTACTAAATTAGATGCAATATTTGTAAAGAAGTTATTAAAATCAGTATAAAAACTGCGTAACTATATTTCTATTAATAATTCAGGGAAAATGTGTCATTATAATAATTATGAGGGTCCATCAGAAATTCTTCCAGATTCCAAGCTTCAACATAATAGTCAAGGGAGACGAAAACGATATACGTAAAGTTCTTTTTACCGTGCCATCAAATTCATGCTGCGGTCATTCGTTCTCAACAGCTTTTCCAATCTCAAATACTCACGAACATTCGCAAAAATGGTGAGTGTGCATTATTTTGCTCGTTGGATGTTTTTCTAACAAAGAATTTGATTCAAATTGCATGTCTTCATCAGATTAGAAAATGCGCACCTATTGATTGAATAGGTGCAATAAATTCCGGATGAAATTATTCGGATATTCGAGTGTTTTTCTCATTTTCGGTCCCGCTTTCAGCGATGTCACGCCAACATGTTCGTAAGACCGCTTACATGTGTCTTGTCTGTAGATACTTATATTAAGTCAGTGATGTAGTGTATATTCACAGGTCATTTGTCATTAAGGCACTTTCAATTTTTTATGTTTTACATGTACTTTCAACTTCATTTCTCAATAAATTTACTTGACTCAATAAATTTACTTGACACATGTATGTAAATTGACAGATTTGCATTGTCAGGCTGTAGAACTGCAGTTTAAAACTTGTTGCACTAAAAATCCAACAAAAGATGCAACATTATCAGTGATTAATCTAGACGTGCGTCTTGTGTAAAATACGCATAAAAATCGAAAAAAGACCCACAGTTTCAAAATATGTGCATTCAATTTGACGCATACAAATCTGGTAGTTTATAAACCAAAATATCACGATTAGTGATTTCTATGTACCGTTTGATAACTTTAATTTCATCACTTGGATAATTTATCAATTTCTTCAGTTAAATAATTTGATTTCTGATGATCACAGGTGCAAGATTCATGCCCCATTTGCTTAAAATGTTAAGCCCCAAGCAATTGTTGCTTGTGATCGGTAACCATCCATTATAGGCATTCAATAGCCAATCAGAGCGCCCCTTTTGCATGAGAGCGAATCGCCTACAATGGTGAAATATAAAACAAAAGTTGGGGCAGAGATCTGCCTGCCCCATTTGCGCTAAAAAAATGAGAATGGCACAGGAAACCGTCAGCAAAGGGCCAAGGGCGCATCTAAAATCTGTGCCAGACTTACATCGTATGTTATTTAGTCATCCAGACAAAACTGGTACCAACAGCAACAGGTTACCCATTCCCCTGTAATTACGCATATTCTTGAGTTTATCCATTTCCAGCATTTTTCCAAGTTATCTACTTACCTTATCCCTTTCCCACACAGATACGCATTTCTACTACCGTATTTTAATGCAATAAAGCAAACAAAAAATTATACAACTACTTAATATTTAAAATAATTATCGGTAACTGAAAAAAAGTGTTGCTATTTTAAGAAATGCTGTAAGTTACAGTATAATCTGACAGGTGTGCAAATTGATTTCCCCTTAGGTCACTCAAGTTCACGCAAGCTTTGGCTGATGGAGTGTAAAAAAAAAAGATGTCTATTTGATCATCAGAATATTTGACAGGGTGATTAACCAGTCAGGGAAACATTGTGCATGACTTTTTTCATGATCAAAAGGTCTGTCTGTGTATGCTTTCGACACAGAGGCATACAAGGAGGAATAAAAGTCGTCAGTACACAGTATGACAGGGACATTTTGTGCAAACTACGAACAATTAAAATGGATAATGCACAGTATTAGACATAAGTAGTAAGAAAATAAATTATGCATGTTTTGGCTGCAATTAATATTAGTACATGTGCATCATCCGACACATTGTAAGGAATTTCTAGATTAATCACTGCATTATTGAAATAAATTAATTATAATTTGATTTAAGCATTAGCTATTCAAAGAGTACATTTAATAATGTCCAACTGGGTCCAATTTCCACCTATACATTTCCACTGATAGGCAAATGGCCAGTGTCAAATTCATCTTTAGAGTGGGGGGCAAATGACTATATACCATACAGGCATAATTAATATATGAATGATTTTCTATGTATATATTTGTCACCTTGTAATGGAATTCTAGTGCCCTAATTACATAAAAAAGGACTGAGGTCAGAGGCCCTCATGTTGTTTTGAAGGGAAAGCAGAATTTGTCTTGTTAAAAATAATACTCATGCAATCTCACCTTTTAGAAGAAAAAAGGGGGATATAGAAATAGGCTTTGTCTGTCCATCCGTCTGTCACACTTTCGTGTCCGGTCCATAACTTTGTCATTTATCAAAGGAATTTGAAATTACTTGGCACAACTGTTTAATAACATAACATTATGTCATGCACAAAAACCAAACTCCTACCTCCAGGGTCAAGGTTGTACTTGCTCATTCAAGGTCAACATTGTCTATTTGAGGGTATATGTCGTGTCCAGTCCATAACTTTCTTATCTTTGAAGGGATTTTGTAAATACTTGCCACAAATGTTCACAATAATGAGACGATGTGTTATGCGCAACAACCGGTCATCTACCACCAAGGTCAAGGTCACTCTTGGAGGTCAAAGATTAACATAATCTGTTATAAGGTATATTTTGTGTCCAGTCCATAACCTTTTCATAGATCAAGGGATCTTGAAAATACTTGGCACAAATAGTCACTATAATTGGATGATGTGTCATACGCAAACCTGTATCCCTACCTCCAAGGTCAAGGTCACACTTGGAGGTCAAAAATTAACATAGTCTGTTATAGGGTATATTTTGTGTATGATCTAGAACTTCTTCATAGTTCAAGGGATTTTGAAACAACTTGGCACAAATAATCACAATAATAAGACGATATGTCAAGTACAACACCTACATTTCAACCTCCAAGGTCAATGTCACACTAAGAGATCAACATAGTCTGTTATATGGTATGTCTATAACTTCTTCATAGTTCAAGGGATTTTGAAAATACTTTGCACAAATAGTTACAATTATAAGACGATATATCATGCACAACACCTGCACCCCTACCTCCAAGGTCAAGGTCACATTAAGAGGTAAAAGCTTAACATGATAGATTTTTAAATTTCGTGTTTCATTTTATTTCTTTAAATTTATTGTTGCATTTGCAGACCTAGCATTGATCATAATTTTGGACTAAAAGTCCTGAGATCCATACCTCAATCTTTTGAATTAGCACAATTTTATGCTTCATATAAAACTTCCTTGGGACGGGGGACGTTGGTAACTCTGTTTCAAATTCTTGTCTAAATTATTTTTAGAAATACAATATACAGTAGGGGAAAAATATATTAAAGTATATAAATAGTTTATAAATAGTCTATTGGGGATGAGAATGGGACTGAAATTCTGCTCCTTGAAATCCTGGAATAATGGCCCTCTAGTGCTTTAGCCTGAATATAGTCTAAATATATGACATGATCTGTAATTCATAGTTAACCTTGCCTATTACTTTAGTATGTACACGTGTATTTATTACCTGCAGGCATCAGATGCAAAGCGGCTCAAATTGTCAGATGAGGAAAGAAGCAGCAAATTAGAACCACTGAAGACCAGTGGTTGGACAATGGTTGAAGGAAGAGATGCTATTTATAAGGAATTTCTGTTCAAAGATTTCAATGAGGTATTATAGTACTTTTCATTTTATCAATATATTAAGGAGCTCCACTGAGGAGTTTAATGGTGAATATTTACTCTTGTAGTTATTATTATGATCACATACAGACAATCAAACCATTTTTGATGTGAGTTATAGATGACTTAAATATATAATATAGGTGTTTCTCATCCAATGTTTGTATGAATTTGATTATGCTCACATGTATAAGAAGTAGATGAACTTTATATGTGATTTGTATTATTGGTACAAGTACATGTGTGAATTTGATTCATGTGATCTCTTAATTGCCTAAACTATGTTTTCATATGACTAAAATTTTCTAATGTTATTTCTTCTGATTTAAAACTGATAATTTTGAAAGAAAGGGAAGTCCATTTAAGATATTTAGTAATGAAAGAGTTAAAATGAATTGATTCATAATGGTAGTTCTGTATTACAGTAAATAATAATGTTGATAAGTATTTAGTATCAGAAATAACACCACACCTTGAAAGAATTATGTATGGATGTTATTGGCAAGTGTGAGAAACACGATCCAATATTACATAATATTATATTTATATAGCAGATGATAAAATGTTTTAGAACAAAATATCATCATTCAACATATAGAATGTTCATACAACCTTTTTTAGAACAATATTTTATAAGAATGCCCGTAGATTGGCTACCTTTTTCCTGGGGTTTACATATTTATTATGCCAACAGGGACAGCAGTGTGTTTTATTGATATGACAAAAACAGAAAGAACATCAAAACTCTTGGCTATCTAATCTCTAGTTGTGTGTCAGTCCTCTTTTTATTTCATGTAGCATAATGATTAACCCTTTCGCTGCCAGAGGGTTATTGTTTTATTGTTCACCTATTTGCCAGAGGATTTTCTAAGAAATTACTATATTATTATTTAATATAATTATTATTATTTGTTATTAGTACTATAATAATTATATATGTTTCCAAATCTGTTAGTATAATAATAATAATTGTCGATTGTATAATTTTCTTTATATTTATTATTATTTTTATTATTATTATTATTATTAATTTATTATTATTACTATTATTATTATAGAAACGGCTAAAGCCGTCCATATGGCAAATACGCCGAAAATATCAGGGACGGCTTAAGCCGTCCCTATGGCAGTGAAAGGGTTAAGGTATTGTTTATATTATACTCAGGCATTTGGTTTCATGACAAGGGTGGCACTGAAAGCAGATAAGATGGACCATCATCCGGAGTGGTTTAATGTTTATAACAAGGTACATTATCTCCTAGCAACACTTTATACATGTATTTATAACTTCTGTATTTTACTGTATATGGTACATTTTGTAATTTACAGTGTTGGGTACATTTTGTATTTGAAAGTGTTACAAAACTGTAGGTCACAAGCTTTATCAGATGTCAATGATAATGTTAATATTTCTTTAAAGCCACTATTATTTATTGGGAACAGGTGCAAGTCTTGTATTTTTACCAAATGTCAAAGATAATGTTAATATTTCTTTAAAGCTACTATTATTTATTGGGAACAGGTGCAAGTCTTCTTGTATAACTTCTCATTAAACGATTCATTCCCTTGATTTTTAGTTTGTGACAGGGTGAGCTTTTGTGATCGCTTTTCGTCCGGCGTCCGTCCAGCGTCCGTCTGTAAACTTTTACTTTAAATGACATCTCCTCATAAACCACTAAGCCAATTTCATCCAAACTTCACAGGAATGTTCCTTTGGTGGTCACCTTTAAAAATTGTTCAAAGAATTTAATTCCATGCAGAACTCTGGTTGCCATGGCAACCGAAAGAAAAAACTTTAAATATCTTCTTTTAAAGAACCCAAAGAGCTAGAGCTTAGATATTTGGCATGAAGCATCTTCTAGTGAGTGTCTACCAAGTTTGTTCAAATAAAAGCCCTGGGGTCAAAATTGGCCCAGCCCCAGGGGGTCATTGATTTTCCCTATATGCATATAGTAAAAACTTAAAAAATCTTCTTTTAAAGAACCCAAAGAGCTAGAGCTAAGATATTTAGCATGAAACATTTTCTAATAAGTTTCTACCAAGTTTGTTCAAATAAAAGCCATGGGGTCAAAATTGGCCCTGCCCCAGGGGGTCATTGATTTTCCCTATATGCATATAGTAAAAACTTAAAAAATCTTCTTTTAAAGAACTCAAAGAGCTAGAGCTTAGATATTTAGCATGAAACATGTTCTAATGGGTGTCTACCAAGTTTGTTCAAATAAATGCCCTGGGGTCAAAATTGGCCCCGCCCCAGGGGTCATTGATTTTCCTGAAATGTGTATAGCAAAAACTTAAAAATCTTCTTTGAAAAAACCCAAATAGCTAGAGTTTAGATATTAAGCATGAAACATCTTCTAGTAAGTGTCTACAAAGTTTGGTTAAATATAAGCCCTAGGGTCATAACTGGCCCCGCTCTTGGGGTGTCATTGTTTTTAGATATATTTGTATAGTAAGAACATAAAAAATCTTCTTTTAAAAAACCCAATGAGCTAGAGCTTAGATATTTAGCATGAAACATCTTCTTATGGGTATCTACCAAGTTTGTTCAAATAAAAGCCCTTGGAATAAAATTGGCCCTGCCGGAGGGGGGGGCAGGTAATTGTTTTTCATTATATGTGTGTAGTAAAAACTAAACAACATGAAACATCTTCTAATGGGTGTCTTCCAAGTTTGTTCAAATAAAAGCCCTAGGGTTTAAACTGGCCCCGCTGCGGGGGCCACTATACAGGTGAGCGACCTCAGGGCCATCATGGCCCTCTTGTTAATAGCTCCATTTTTGTTTTTGTTTTTTTTTTCCAAAAATTGGGAGAGCTTTTGTATTCACCCTGGTGTTTGTTAAGTTTTTGCATGCATGTAAGTATCTCCAAAACTGCTGAAGGGAATGGGTTGAAACTTCACACACTTATTTCAGAGCATAATAGGAGATCACTGTCCAAGGTCCATAACTTGAACATTGATTTCTATATAATTATAGCCCTTTTTGGAACTTAAAAACCCTACTTTTTCCTAGCTAAGTTATACTATTATACTATCAGCACTGAGAATATTTGAGCATGCTGTCTTACCAATAGCTCTTGTTCAATGGGCCCAGTACTGTGAATAAAGCCATAGTAATTATGCCCCCACTTCGAAGAAGAGGGGGTATATTGCTTTGCACTTGTCGGTCCGTAGACCAAATGGTTTCCGATCAATAACTAAAGAACCCTTAGGCCTAGGAACTTCAAACGTGGTATGGTGATTGGTCATGATCAGTAGATGACCCCTATTGATTTTGGGGTCAAGGGGTCAAAGGTCAAGGTCACATTGACCTCTTAGGTAAAAACGGTTTCCGATCAATAACTAAAGAACCCTTAGGTCTAGGAACTTCAAACTTGATATGGTGATTGGTCATGACCAGCAGATGAACCCTATTGATTTTGGGGTCAAGGGGTCCAAGGTCAAGGTCACATTGACCTTGTAGGTAAAAACGGTTTCCGATCAATAACTAAAGAACCCTTAGGCCTAGGACTTCAAACTTGATATGGTGATTGGTCATGATCAGTAGATGACCCCTATTGATTTTAGGGTCAAGGGGTCAAAGGTCAAGGTCATATTGACCGCTTAGGTAAAAACGGTTTCCGATCCATAACTAAAGAACCCTTAGGCCTAGGAACTTCAAACTTGGTATGGTGTTTGGTCATGACCAGCAATGACCCCTATTGATTTTGGGATCAAGGGGTCAAAGGTCAAGGTCACATTGACCTTGTAAGTAAAAACGGTTTCTGATCAATAACTAAAGAACGCTTCAGCCTAGGAACTTCAAAATTGGTATGGTGATTGGTCATGACCAGTAGATGAACCCTATTGATTTTGGGGTCTAAGGGTCAAAGGTCAAGGTCACATTGACCTTGTAAGTAAAAACGGTTTCCGATCAATAACTAAAGAACGCTTAGGCCTAGAAACTTCAAACTTGGTGTGATGATTGGTCATGACCAGCAGATGATTCCTATTGATTTTTAGGTCAAGGTGTCAAAGGTCAAGGTGTCAAAGGTCAAGGTCACATTGACCTTGTAGGTAAAAACGGTTTCCAATCAATAACTAAAGAACGCTTAGGCCTAGAAACTTCAAACTTGGTATGATGATTGGTCATGGCCAGCAGATGACCCCTATTGATTTTGGGGTCAAGGGGTCCAAGGTCAAGGTCACATTGACCTTGTAGGTAAAAACGGTTTCTGATCAATAACTAAAGAATGCTTAGGCCTAGGAACTTCAAACTTGGTATGATGATTGGTCATGACCAGCAGATGACCCCTATTGATTTTGGGGTCAAGGGGTCAAAGGTCAAGGTCACATTGACCTTGTAGGTAAAAACGGTTTCCAATCAATAACTAAAGAACGCTTAGGCCTAGGAACTTCAAACTTGGTATGATGATTGGTCATGACCAGCAGATGACCCCTATTGATTTTGGGGTCAAGGGGTCAAAGGTCAAGGTCACATTGACCTTGTAGGTAAAAACGGTTTCCGATCAATAACTAAAGAATGCTTAGGCCTAGGAACTTCAAACTTGGTATGATGATTGGTCATGACCAGTAGATGACCCCTATTGATTTTGGGGTCAAGGGGTCAATGTCATATTGACCTTGTACTTAATGACGGTTTCTGACCAATAACTCAACAACTCAAGTTGCCTTGGTTGATATTTTTATATTAAACTAAAAATGCTTTTGGTATACACATTTGAAGGTCTTATGTAATATAACAACTTGGCTGTCATTAATGAGGACTACATGATTCATAAAATTTATGTATATATTATTTGGTAAGATTTGTAATAACTTAAATTGCTTCACACAACCTATGGGGTCACAATTATTATTACCTTGTGACTAGTCATGACCAGTAGATACTAGATAACTGATAATCCTTATTAATTGTTTGTTCACAGGGTCAGAAGTCCTGCATAATAACCTGATCACATGACTATATGGCTGCCGATAGGGGGCATACATGTTTTACAAACATATCTTGTTTTCTTTTGAAATTATAAATCTACATATGCCATATATTGCAAAATGTTTGTAATTCATGATTCGAAGCACAGACAACCTTTTTTCCATAACATCCTTAATTACATGTATGAAAATAATTTCCTTCTTATTCCAGGAATCAAATTTTTGGAGTTTCTTATGAACACTTCTTTAAATAAAGCATAATTTTAAGTTATGGATGATTTGCTTGTTTATTTCATGTGTTGTTAAGACAACTGGATGTAGAACATATTTTCATTAACTCAACTTATTAAAATCCACTTACATGTGTATAAAATTCAGCTAGAATTATGTACATTTAAATTTGATACTTTATGTTTGAATTGGATATAACAGTGGCAAATCACCCTGGCAAATCACCCTGTCTAACCTTCCTCAGGTTCCATAAAGGTTTTATTCAGGCAAATCTGTTAATTAGCCACTTTAACCTTTACCATATGGACATGTTAAGCAACTGAATCTACATAAGCGACCAAGGCAGACCAAGATCATATGTGCCATCTTATCATGGTCCGCACTAAAACTGATATTTTGAAATTTTCCCTAAATAAATGATGAATAGCTGTGTCCAGATTAATATATTGACAAGCCATTTTTGAGGTATTTACCATGGTTAAGCATAATAGTTGTTAAAGTCGCAGATACTGCTTGAATAAAGCAAGAACATTATGTGTGCTTTGATTCATTCCTATCATAATTTAAAGAAATATTAACATATAAATTGTAGATTTTTGTGCTAAAGATAGAATTCTTATTTTTATTTTCAGGTGCAGATAACTCTCAGTACCCATGATTGTGGCGGCCTGTCGGAGAGAGATGTCAGACTGGCTACGTTTATTGAGGGCGCGGCCAAGACGTCGTAATATACTGCTGATATTCATAGAATCTCCTCCTCACAAGTGCTGACTTATACCTTGATATGAGCTATAATTTGGACCAATCAAAATACAGCATTTAGTCAAAGATTTTTATTGTATGTTGTTGTTAATAATAATGATTGTTGTGGTGTGTGTCTCTGTGATTTTATTAATTCTAACATGTTTGTTTAATTTAGGGATTTTGTTTGTTTTTGTATACAATCTAATTATAAATATGCAAGAGCTTGATAAGCAAGAATTTTGTATTTCTATGCAGGATTTCTGTGCCTATTTGTTTTGTATTTTATAAAAATATAGAATATTACCAAGTTTTTGTTCAAATTTAAAGATAGAAGATACAGTGAATTTTGCTATCCTAAGTAAGCTTTGAAAATGTTTAAGATGTTAGATTTTGGAAGTATTGTATTTTTGTCCAGTCAATCAGTCTGTCCCTCTGACTATGTTAACCTGTGGCATTATTAAAATTTTCATTTTAAAAGCAGGAGCTTTCATACTTGAAATTAACATGCCTCTGGATAAGAGCTTTATTTTGACAAAAGTATGATCCTAAATTTTTCAAAATCATAATTTAAATTGTTATCAATAGATTGTGTGCAGCAATATTTGTGTTTTACAAACTTATTTTGATTATTGTATACTTTGAGGCATGCCTCTTAAATCTGAAAATATTAAACATCAAGTGGTAGTTTTGTTAGCACTTGATATCTGATATTGATTTTCTTTGCCTGCACTTGTTGATAGGCATTTTTTTTTCAAATCAAGAATGTGGCATGAAATTAATATGCATTTCAATGATTCTTCCAATTTGGAATATTTCAAGTAAATTATTAATTATTTAAATTCCATTTTACCAGAATTTAGTTATTTCTGCAAAGTCTTAATTTCATAAATCAATTCTGACAGTGTATAATTTTAATAGCAAATTCTACCAAAATTGCATAATCATTACTACATTACTTGATTAAAGTAATGTTACACAACCTGCTTGATTTATTTACAGTAGATTATGATTCTATTACATTTAAAATTTGAGATTATTTATTTGTGTTCAGCTTAGTCATGTAAGACAAACTTGATAAATACTGTATTAATTTGATATTATTACTCACCAATGGTGTAGAAGATTGTAATTTCATAATATATGTACGTAAACTAGTCATGTGAAGTCAAAAATAATATTTTTCCTTGTATGTGAAGGGCTACTGCTAGTTTGTGACAGTCATAAATTTTGATTATTAATTGCTAAATATATTAAATGGTTATTCCGCAGCATTGTGGTAAGGTAAAAATGGTTGGAGCATTGATATCTTCATTGGAAACTCTCTTATATCTTGAAAGAGTATAATATATTGCCACCTTTCAGACTCTATCTGACTCCTGTATTTTAATGATTGATTGATATAATTGTTTGTAGTTAACCATGCTTGTTTGTAGTTTTACCTTGAAAATCTTAAGTTATTTTTATCGTAAGTCACCACAACGGTTTTAAATCGTTATCCTGACAGAGATTTTGGATTCTTTCATTTGAGGGAGCAATCAAGTTAGAATAGAGAACATAGATGCCAGTTTGTGTCTGAATACATGAAGATGCACCTGCGGTCTCCCTCCTCTACCAAAACTGTAATGTTGCCATATTTATGACCTTCACAATATTTGTGTGTCCTAAACCCAACTAAAATGAACCCAACCAAAATAGTTTTATAAAAAATGATGTAAATGTTATGAGTATAAACATGACAATGATTCAGTGACTTTGATATATGGACTGGTATCAATATTCAAGTAGATGAAGTAAACTATTAAAGCCAGTACTTTAATTTGTGTTTGGTTAAATGTATACATGTATCTACTGACTTGTAAAACATTCCAAAAATATATATTGTACAAACCGCCTCCGTGGTCGAGGGGTTAGAGTCGATGACTTCTAATCCAATTACCTCTCTGGCGTGGGTTCAATCCCCGGGAGATGCTTTGGTAGTTTAGCGCGGAGGAAGGTAGTCTAGTACTGGTGTAACTCTCCAGGAACGATGGTTAGGAAACTACCCGCCTATATGACTGAAATACTGTTGGGAAAAGGCGTAAAATGAAACAAACAAACAAACAAATATATTGTACAACAGGGTCGTTTGAAAAAATACAGTATGCAGGAATAAATCAGCTTTCTACATGATAGAACAATGAAACTAAAGATATTGAAAATAGAATTCTTAACTTTTGCACATTTAAATATGAACCTTGATTACATTATGTCAGATATTAATGTTATGATATTGATATGTTTTGATATTACATTAAAGTAAGTAAGTTACTTATTTACAGTTTATCCAAATCTAATGTATAGGGTATTATAGCATCTAATGATATAGGCCTTTATTCATATCAAGTTTATCTCTGGTTAATTTTGGTTATTAGATATTTTGTCAACTTTGACACAATCCCATCCTATGTTGACAGTGTTGTACATCTATGTTTTCTATTTGGTACTTTAATGTTATAGATTTCAGATGAATAAATAAATAAGTGTTGATTTTACAATGCCTTTGTTTTTATTCCATTCTGAACATTGATTAATTTGTTAATATCAGCACTTACCTTTTCTGCATATTATGGAGAAAACAAACTCTTTGAGTCACAAATGCCCTGTATAAATAAAAAAAATACTTGATTATCAATAGGTGTTTGCATTATAGAAATTTGGTCTGACATCAAGGCATGTGAGTACATGTATCTTGAGGGTTTATGAGTAATGTAAACAAAACTTGAGGGTCTGTGAGTTAGATTATCAAGCAACTTTGAAAATCTAAAACGCGTTTGAAGATAAGTGAGTTACATGAAGGTTATCAAATCTGAGGGCCTGCAGTGAGTTAGGTAATTAAGCTTGTGTAGCTGTGACATATGTAAACAAGGTTGGGTACCTGTGAGTTAGGTAGACAAGCTTAATCACCCTTGAATAAGGTAAACAAGCTCGATGACCTGTGAGTTAGGTAAACATACTTTATCACCTTTGATTTCTTAGGTTAACAAACTTGATCACCTGTGAGTCATACAAACTTGATCATCTTTGAAATAGGTAAACAAGCTTGAGGACCTGTGAGTTGGGTAAATACGTTTGAGGTAGTAAACAAGCCTGATCAACTTTGAGTTAGATAAACAAACTTGAGGACCAGCTGTGAGTTGGGTAAACAAGCTTGATGGTCTGTGAGTTAAACAACCTTCATAACTTGTGAGTTAGGTTAACAAGATTGGTGACCTGTGAGTTAAGTAAACAAGCCTGATCAAATTTGAATAAGGTAAACAAACTTGAGGACCAGCTGTGAGTTATGTAATTTAGGCTTGATGACGTGTCAGTTAGGGAAACAAGATTGATTACCTGTGAGTTAGGCAAACTTGAGGACCAGCTGTGAGTTAGGTAAACAAGCTTTAGGACCTTTGAGTAAGGGAAACAAACTTGATGACTTATGAGTTAGGTATACAAGCTTGATGACTTGTGAGTTAAACAACGTTCATAACTTGTGAGTTACGTAAACAAGGTTGGTGTTTTGTGAGTTACGTAAACAAGTTTGATGACGGGAGTAAGGGAAACAAGCTTTGTGAGTTAGGTAAATAAACTTAAGGACCAGCTGTGAGTTACTTAAACAAGCTTGAAGACCTGTGAGGTAGGTAAACAAGTTTGATGATTTGTGAGTTAGGTAAACAATCATTTGGTGCATTATCAGCATCGGGTACAACCGTCGACTTAATCTACTTTCTTTTAGTTGCTCAAGCATTAAATAATTGATTAAGATTACAGCAGAACGCTCAAGGCAAATTTTTTTGTATAGGTTTATGAATAAAATATGTCAATCATGACCAATTTTAACACCGGTCACATGGAAATATGCCATTACCGTGAAATAAGTGATGACGCGCAATAAGTGATGTTGAGTATACTTGAAACTACTGCAATAACTTCTGACAATTGCAAGCACAAGTACGTACACTTAGTTAATACTCGTATTACTGCGTAGCTTCAAAAACATCTGATATGCACAAAAACAGACTTTAAAGTTGCTGCAATAGATTCAGACCCTTGCAAACACAAAAAAATATACATGTATCTTCTCTGATCTTATGTAATAGTTCTAGCAAGTGCAAGCTCACAAAAAATCCCTCAACGTTATATTACTGGTGATCGAAATGGCTTTATTAGGCACATTTATACAACCCACCGTAATATTGTACTATGTACTAAACACTGCTGCAATAGTTTCAACACCAGAGGGTAAATTTACTTAAATATTCTAGGAAACTTCCAGGCATTGTACTTAAAGCTGTGACAAAAACTTCTAACACGTTAATTTGCTAGCAGCTAAAATGGATTACATATGTACGGTAGGCTTTTGCAATAACTTTCAAAAGCTTTATGATATCTACCCAGGAAAGCATTTCCCCTTAAAACTGCTCCTGTAAGACGTTTAACTTATTTAAATAAAATGAATTAAGTAACCCACATGAAAAATAATCTAGATCTGCAGCATATACAAAATGTACTCGCTTTCGTCCACGTGTTTAAGCTTCAAAATTGGTACTGAGAAGTAGCATTCATTTTCAGTAGATATAGTCAAGGTAGCCCTAATGTTAAGAGATACATGTTTACACAATTGTAGCTCTAAGTTAAGTTAATTAAAGCATTATTTTTAAGCACGTGAAAGTAGTTGAGAATATATCCTTAATTTTTTTTATATACAGAAAAAAATCATTCATGATTCTGTACAAATAAAAAAAACATACCTTCAAGTTCAGGGAATTTTACATGACAAGTGGCGTCAAGTTAAATAAACATCTATATCTCCAAAATTAATTTCAAACAAAATAATCAAAAACTTGTTCTAGTAACGAATGTACATTGACTTGTGCATATATGTTTTCTATGATTTATTCCAACTAATGTATGCAAGAGTCCTGTTAATGTATGCCAGTTATATACGAATTCTCGTAACAACATAATCTGAAGACTGAGTGAAAAAGTATATGAAAAAAAAAATCAGAAAAATGATGTTAAACTGAAGAGAAAAGCACGATTATAATCAAACATCCAATCCCAAGAAAAACCGTCTGATCTAATTCGAAGAAAATTAATTGTGTAATTCGTTCAACTTTTTTTAAAATATTCAACCCGATAATTCAGAATTCAAGTTAAAATATTTCATGAGTAAATTTATGAGCAATGGGCAGATAGCATATTAATTCGTCTGACATTTTAAGTGTATAGTGAACATAAATACATTTTTACAACGTAGGCCCTTGTTCGAATCTATAAGTGTCCGTCATAACTAACTCATATTGAATACATAACGGTTATTTCAACTATTAATTTTTAAATAACATCAAAATATTCTTGTAAAATACAAAAGAAACTCGTCTAAATGCCGTTTTCAGGAACGGCTTTTGCAATTAACGGTACGCTACAGAATTTAGACAGTTACCGGTACATACTACAACAACAACAAACATGTCGGAAAGATACAGTTTTTCGCTGACTACTTTCAGGTTTATGCTTTTATTTATCATATGTTCAAATCCATCATAATTGTTCGATTGTTTAATTGCAGAGACATATGTTTTATTGACTCTGAGAGTAATTTCAGTATATATATTTACGTAGTCAGTCATTTTCCCATGGCAATTAGACTGCATACTCATGCCGCTTTGTTACAGATGTGGGTGGGGTATAATTTGTTTGTATCCATCGTTTAACAGTTTCGAGACGAATGAAGGAAAATAATGTGATTATTTACTATATATTCGGCCCATTCACAATTCAAAATTGCACTTTTTTCACAAAGTGGCGGAAAAAAATTCATAAGATTTCAGAAAATATCGGGACTTCGTCTTCGAAATTCATAATTTGTTTACCTTCCGGTAAAACTTGATTTTCACCAATTGCAAACACATAAAAAAGTTTTAAATGAGTTAAATAGTATTTGCGCATTTTATCGGGTTAAAGTAGAGACTTAAAGCAGATTTTACACAGGGCAGAAATTATAATTTAGTTCAAAATGTTGTGAAATGGCAAATATTATTTTTCACAATTTTATGACATACATGTATCAAGCTTTTTTTTCACAAAAGATCAGACCCTTCACAATTTTGACAAAAATGACTAGGTGTCCACAGTGTAACTGTAAGAAATTAGGATTTGAATCGACTAGGCTAGTCGGACAACCAGATTGGAATGTTCACTAGCCCAAAAGACATAAAATTTCACTAGCACGATTCATTTGTTCAAAACAGTTGTTTATACTGCCTCTGAAAATACAGTAGCCTGGGCGGGCTTATTACTGTGAAAAGTTGGTTGCCCGAGGAGAAATTTAGTAGTCAGGGGCTATCGGACTACTGCTAATTTCGAACACTATGTCCCATATTGGCTAATAAGTTATGATAGTCTACTGTCCCACTTACTGGATACCAAATTACTAATTGACAAAGTTATTAATTGCTTGGACCTTGGATGTAACAAGTTGATTCTCTTTGTTGTTTTGAGATAGTGAAATCTGAATAAACCAGGCAAATAATTTTGTTTTTATATCATTTCAGTCCATCAGGAAAGCTTGTACAGATTGAATATGCTTTAGCAGCAGTGGCAGCAGGTGCCCCATCTGTGGGCATTAAAGGTAAAACTAAATAATAAATTCTTACTAATTCTGTAAGAATGGTTTTACATGTATATTCCTATTGCTAAGAGAAGATCGTTTTCCAAATAATTGATTTTATTTACTTTTATAGGTTAAATTATAAGTACAAATTTGTAAGAAAATGTATAGTTTAAGGTATTTTATGTTTTGTTGAATGATACATACCAGTTTTATTCCTTTTCAAAATTTGATTTGAATGTTTAATGAATAAACTAGGTATACCATATATTGAAATAAACTTATAAAAATTGTCATTCAGTCCTGAATAAAAAGTAAATATTTCTAAGAACTTACAAATAGCATTTGAAATGGTTACAATGTTTCTCTCACAAATATACATTTGTTGATTTTAAAACAAACTAGAAAAAAAACAGTTTGAATCTTCTGATCATGGTCTACATTGTTTGCTATTTGTTTAATATATATTTTGAAATTTCTCTTAAGGCCATCCTTAAAAAAATGTTTGTTTGCAGTAACGCGACCGACTCACAAAATTTGCCCATACTCAAATTTTTTTTCGTGGTCGGGATAAAAAAAATTTTTTTGAATCAGAAAATTATGCCTTGTGCTTTAAGGTTAATAGAAGAAATAAAATGTAGTTCTTATTAAATTAGAATTCAGTTATAAATTTATTAATTGTTACCAGATTATCAAAGCATATATTGTCCAGCATTTTGAAATTCCATGTTTATTTGGGAGTACAGTTCAATAAAAAAAATAAATAAATCGACCTACCTACCCACCTTGAAAATTCTGGGTCGGGTTACTGCAAACAAACATTTTTTTAAGGACGGCCTAATAAAAATGAATGGTTTTATTTATTTAAAGATTGGCAAGTCCATTTAAGAATTTACATGTAGAGGGATAAGGGTAAAATACTTCACATGATTTTGCGCATTACAAAGTACAGTATTTTCCATATAAATTGTCTGATTACCCTGACAACTTGACAATATCTGGTTTTATATTACAGCCACAAATGGTGTTGTCCTGGCAACAGAGAAGAAACAGAAATCCATCTTATATGATGACAATAGTATACATAAAATTGAACTGATCACAAAAAATATTGGTATGGTATATAGTGGAATGGGACCAGATTACAGGTTAGCTACTTCCTCTTATTATTAAGATTACCACTGAAAGCAAAATTGCTGATTTTGAGCATATTGGAGATCATTGCATTCAATTTGATTTTGCTCAAATTCAATTTGTTTATCATGTGACTTAGTGATATCATACAGCTTATCAGCTAGCTTATAGGTTGAAGGTTCTACTCAGAATCAGATGTCAATTAAAATTTGAAAATACAGTTTACCTGAAGTTCATCTTTGCCATCTGTATACATGTACAGGTGTGAAATTGTCCTTTTTGTAAAACATTAATTTTATAGCGATGATCTGACTAAATAATCAGGATAAATTTACATAATTCTGATTGATAAATTATTTTAAAACAATTGGTATAATTATGTTATGAGACATATGTTTAGTGTCAAAGAGATACAGATTGATTTTTCCTTCTTTTAATGATTTTAAGTTTAATTTTTGTCTACAGATCTTTGTCTGTAAAGATTGTTACTATTTGTAAATCTTGTTTGTTTTCCATGACTGGTACAGTATTTTTCTTTTACCTATTTGCCTTCTTGCCATTGTAAACTGAAATTTGTACATGGCACAGGTCAGATTCCATGGTAAAAGAAAATTTGAATGAAAAATAAACACTGTTTAAAATTTAAATCTTAACTTTTTCAAGATTTAAAAACATTTTAAAACCAGACTTTCCTACTCTTTGTAATAGCTTGGTTTATGTCTACATTTCTCAAGATATTTTAACCAATACTTCACACAGGCTGATTTTTATCAAGTGTAATATGACCAATATTGGCTCAAATGTGGCCCTTTAGGGTCCCCCCCCCCAAGAAAGACTTGTTTTGTGACATTTTCCTTACACTTGTTGTATGTTTGTTGAATTATGTTTTGATACCATATAAAGCGATGATTTATTTACATATAATTTCAGAGTTTTAACAAAAAGTGCAAGAAAATTAGCGCAGCAATATTTCCTACAGTACCAGGAACAGATACCAACGTCACAACTTGTACAACGAGTGGCCAATGTCATGCAGGAATTTACACAGTCTGGGTATGTTATCATACAGGATTCATTTTTAAAGCTGCACACCTCCAGATGAGCCAAAATATTTCTAGAAATTCAGTCTTTAGAAAAATGTATAAAGATCTTAAGAAAAGTAAAAAGATTCAATATTTGATTAATTATTTACATGTTATGTGGGATTAATGACTGATTTTGCAGTATCAATCACTATAATTCTACTGTTACTAAGGAAGTAAGAGATATTTATGTATATTTTGACCTTTTTGGTAATTGACGTGGATTGTTAGTGCCGTCTTCAATGTGTAAATTACTTTCTTTGTTCACTTCACAATACATGTATTTTACTTTTAAATACATTTGTGTGTCGCCTCTACGGAGTAGTGGCGACATATAAGGATCACTTCTCCGTCGTCTGTCTGTCCGTCTGTCCGTCACAAAACTTGCCCGAATTCTCATAAACTACTGGTGCAATTTCATCCAAACTTTACAGGAATGATCAGTACCAAGTCTAGTTGTGCATATTGTCAGCATTTTTCGGTTCAATGATTTTTGTCAGAGTTATGGCCCTTTAATAATTTTTATTTTTAAAGTTTGTCCGGACTACTTCTCTTATACCACTAATGCAATTTCAATGAAACTTTACAGGATTGATCTGTAGCTCAAGTCCTTGTTGAGCATATTGCACGGGTTTTCCGGTTGAATGATTTTTGGCCGAGTTATGGCCCTTTGATAAAAAGGTGTTTTTTTCTGTGTGTTGCCAGATACACAAAAGCTTGTCCGGACTACTCCTCATAAACTACTGGTGCAATTTTATCCAAACTTTACAGGAATGATCAGTACCAAGTCTAGTTGTGCACTGTCCATCTGTTTGTCCGTCTGTCACAAAACTTGTCCCAACATAAAATTGGCCATCATGAGGCGACACATGTGATTACTGATTGCTCTTGTCAAATTTTTCATGAAAATTAGAATGAATCTGAGGGTATGCTGCTTTCAGTTTAAATTGGTTTTTGTAGTTGTATGATTTTAATATTTTAGTATAGTATGCCATCTAAAAGAAAGTGTCATTATGATTAATGTGTCTATAAACTCGTCAAAAAGATCAATAGAAAGGAGGCTAAGTAATTGAGGTTTCCCACTCCAAATTACTTGCCCTTCACAGTTGTAGGTTCAAATCTTACTATAGTCATGGGATATTTCCATTCTTTCCTGGAAGCTTTCATAGATAGGTGGTTCTACTCTACTCTGAGGAATACACAAACAAGATATCCAATGTGTTCTTGCACCTATTAAGCTCAGCATTGTTGCTGTAGTGGAAGCACAAAATGTTTTGCATTCTCGGGTCACGTTCTTAATGTAGTTTTATGTTTTGTTTCGATGATTTATGGGAGAAAAAGAACAAAAACAACTAGAATTACATTGATACTGTAACTGCTGAATTTATGCAGGAAGTTTTCTTTTTCACTTGTGTTTAGAAATTAAGATAGTACTTTGAAATTTGAACTTGTAACTTCTAGAAATTTGAAATTTCATGAACTATGAGAGAATTTTAAACAAACATATCTAAACTACACAAATGTACATTTAACTTTGTTATTTTTCCTCATTAGAGATAGATTTGTATATAATTATGTTGATCACTGTAAAGCCAAAATGTTTTTTATATTTATGAATAATTCATTCAAAATTCTTTCTCTAAAACTTTATTTTAAATGGGATTAGCAGTTTTGTGATTCAAATCTCTTTGATACAACAAATGTTTAATTTAAACAATTATGAGGTTCAAACAAAGATTTTTCTTGTAGCAGCAGTAATGTATAGAAAAAATCAGAATAGAACCAGTTATTAATTTGTATTATCTGAGAATTTATTAATTACAGGATATTTTTTTTTGTTTTTAGTGAAAATGGACAATATATTATACATTTGGATTTTATTTTTCACTTGTAAATAGTTCATTATCATATATTATTTGATAATACATTGATCAAAATGCATAAACAATACATTTTCAATGAATCATAACAAACTTTAAAGACAATGTCACATTACATATATAAGTCGTTTGTAATTATTCCAGAACATTATTTCAAAAACAATAATTAGAACAAGAAACAAAACTTTATATTTCACTCCAGATAAAACAGTCTGATATGTCTTATATTTTTCACTGTTGTACATTTAGTTTCTCATCGTAAAGTACAAGATAAAGTTTTATGCAAAAATGATTGTACATTTATTTTAGTGGTGTTAGACCTTTTGGAGTCTCATTATTGATGGCAGGCTGGGATGAAGCTGAAGAAAGACCATATCTATATCAGTGTGATCCTTCTGTAAGTATACAAGTTATACTGGGGAGTGATATGTTGTGAGTTTTGAATATTGAAAAACAAATTAAAACATTCAATTATATTTCATGCAATATTCAGGGTACTTTTATATCATATTCAGAATACAGGCAGATGCTTATTATACCCCCAAAAACGAAGTTTGGGGGGGTATATAGGAGTCACCCGGTGGCCGGTCGGGCGGTCGGTCCAGACGTCCGTTGCATTTTCCTTGTCCGGAGCATTACTTGAAGACTAATGGTTGGAATTCAATATAACTACATACAATGGTCAAGTGCACAAGAACCATAACTCTATCTTGACTAATTACAGAGTTATTGCCCTTTGTTACTTTTCCTTGTCTGGGGCATAACTTGAAAACTACTGGTTGGAATTCAAAACAACTTCATACAATTGTCAAACACAATAAGGGGAAGTGAATTGCACAAGAACCATAACTCTATCTAAAGTAATTACAGAGTTATTGCCCTTTGTTACTTTTCCATTGCCTTTTTTGTCCGGACCATAACTTGAAGACTAATGGTTTGAATTCAATATAACTTCATACAATGGTCAAGCACATTGAGAGAAAGTGCAGTGCACAAAAGCCATAACTCCATCTTTACTAATTACAGAGTTATTGCCCTTTGTTACTTTTCCTTGTCCAGAGCATAACTTGAAAAGTACTGTTTAGAATTCAATGCAACTTCATACAGTTGTCAAGGACATTAAAAGGAAGTGCAGTGCACAAGAACCATAACTCCATTTGGACAAAATACAGAGTTACTGCCCTTTGATACTTTTCCTTGTCAGGAGCATAACTTAAAACGTACTGGTTGGAATTCAAAACAACTTCATACAATGGTCAAGCACAATAAGAGGAAGTGCAGTGCACAAGAACTATAACTCTATCTTCAGTATTTATAGAGTTATTGCCCTTTGTTCCCTTTCTTTGTCTTTCTGGACTTATTACAGAGTAATTCAATTAAACTTCATCAATGGCCAACCACATTGAAAGGAAATGCAACATATAAGAACCACAACTATCTTTAATTGCCCACAACCATAACTCTATAGTTCAATTCTTTTACAAGGTATTCTGTTAATAGTAACAACCTCATTTCAGAAGCAGTCTTGTGGGGGTATTAATCACATTTAGTGATAGTTTTAGTTTAAATATTAATTCTTGATGCAGTCATGTTTCGAAAGAGGAGAAAGATTTTTGAGTAAAATATACTGGAGTTAATTGAATTAATTGCCAATAATTGACACAATTGTTCGATGATACAGCTGTATGGTCACTAAAAGGTATAAAGCTATATCGAATCAAATATTTTTATCAGATTTAAAAGTGGTAAAATTATGTTGTTTCCATACCCTTATGGTCAAATCTTGAAAGAGATGTATCAAAGTCTTTGAATGACCTAACTGTGTCAGTGTGACTTAAAACCCAACCAAAAAAACAAACAAACAAACAAAAAATTAAAAGATACCTATATAATCATGTGTTCCTTTCATTTCTTGTATACTTAAGTAAAATATTTTATTTCTTTTCTAATTGAAATTTTGCACATACAGTATTTGCAAAATGTCTTATTAGCTCGACTATTCGAAGAATATGAGAGCTATTGTAGTCGCCCCGGCGTCGGCGTCAGCGTCCGCGTCTGCGTTGGTTAAAGTTTTTTGTAAAGTCAAATATCTCAATCATTACTCGAGATATTCAATTGAAACTTACAATACTTATTTATAGTAACAAGGTACATCAGATTGACAAGTTTGATAACTCTGCCTACAATATTGACAGAATTATGCCCCTTTTTAACTTAGAAATTTTGGTTAAAGTTTTTTGTCAAGTCAAATATCTCAATTATTGCTTGAGATATTCAATTGAAACTTACAATAATTATTTATAGTAACAAGGTACATCAGATTGACAAGTTGGATAACTCTGCCTACAATATTGACAGAATTATGCCCCTTTTTAACTTAGAAATTTTGGTTTAAGTTTTTTGTAAAGTCAAATATCTCAATTATTGCTTGAGATATTCAATTGAAACTTACAATACTTATTTATAGTAACAAGGTACATCAGATTGACAAGTTAGATAACTCTGCCTACAATATTGACAGAATTATGCCCCTTTGGAACTTAAAATTTTGGTTAAAGTTTTTTTTTGTAAAGTCAAATATCTCCAATTATTGCTTGAGATATTCAATTGAATTTAAAATACTTTTTTATAGTAAAAATGTACATCAGTTGCAAAAATTGCATAACTTTGCCTGCAATATTTGCAGAATTATTTGCCCCCTTTGAAAACTTAGAAATTTTGGTTAAAGGTTAAAGGTCTTCAAAGATATTTACTTGAAACTTTACACATGCACTTAGGGTCATAATTGGAGGGTCATAATTGTATGTCACTGACCAAGTTCCATAACTCTATTTTGCATTAAGGCTGATTCATATCCCCTTTTCTACTTATTCTCTTGGTTAATGTTTTACAATGCAAGTTTTACATATCTCAATAACTGTTAAAGATATTTATTGAAGCTTCACATATGCATTTAGGGGTCATAATTTGTAGGTCACTGACAAAGATCCATAATTCTATCTTGCATTTAGGCTGATTTTTCTCCCCTTTTTCAACGTAGAAATTCATGGTAAAGTTTTGCTTGTAAGCTGTTATCTCAATTACTACTGAAAGGGTTTTGTGCCTTTTTGGGAGCAATTTTATGCATTCATAATAATAAAGCAGTGATTTACTTGATAAAACATCTTAATTAGAAGCCTTAGTACCTTTTCTGTCAAATTTATGTATTCATAGGTAATTAGTATTATTATACTCAATAAAACACCCTTGTGACATTACCTTCAGAATAGTCAAGCCAATACTGTATAATTAGACTCTCTCTAAGGCCTATAACATGAATTTATAAAAAAAATTAGCCCTTTTTACTATCAAGCACTTAGAATAGTCGAGCGTGCTGTCCTACCGACAGCTCTTGTTTTTTACTAAAAATCAGATGTGCTCTTGTTTGAATAGCATTAACATAAATGAAGAGTTTCTATCTCTTATAAGAAGTATGATGTTTTATTTTTGTATTTTCAGGGAGCATATTTTGCTTGGAAAGCTACAGCTATGGGGAAAAATTTTGTAAATGGTAAAACATTCTTAGAAAAAAGGTATGTGTAAAAAATATTGTCAAACATTATAATCTACTAGCAGAAACACATGCTTTTATGAGGTATTTTTTATGCCTCCACCCAACACTTACAGACTTTCACTTTACACCTTTGCATTATTCAATACAGTGGAAGTCAGTGCTAGCACTTGTGTTTAGCCAAGTCTTGATCAATTACCTTTTATGCATTTAACGTGGTTGAAAAATTTAAGTGGTCACAAAATGGCCAACTTTTCCAGATCTTAAAATTCTTGCCATTTACATCTGTGAGTGTGAGCTGTGAAGTTAAAATTTTAAGGACAATTTTTGAATTATTATTCAAATGGGGTGTTAACCTGGAAAAAAGGTCAATGAATCCTAATAAACAATAGTGAAAACACATTAACTGTGAAAATAGTAGGCAGAGTTATGAATTCCACTTTGACAGATGTTTACTTTGGGTTTTAAAAAAATCTCCAAAAATCTTTTATGTTTACCATAACAACCATATATGAATGGCATGGAAATTACATAATCTGTATAAGGAAATTGTCTGTTTTTTAGAAGAAGAAAAAATAAAAAGAATATGTGAACAACAGTTGTTCCTTTACATATGCAAGGGAAGTAATTTGGTGAAAATTAAGACAGAAGTAGTAGCAATTGTCTATCATGACTTGGCAAGTTTGTAAGTGCTTTGGAGAGAGGGGGTGAAGGAGTACATAAAGATTTATTTTTGTCCGTCCAACATGCTGTCATGTTTTCTGTCCCTAGCCTTACAAAACATTAAAATATTTGGGCATCCGTGTCCAAGTTTGTAACTAAAAGGCTTGAATGCCTGAATATGCTTGAAATCTGGAAACCAATTTTTGAAGAAATGTTGGAAAATAATAATCTTAATGTGTTTTGTTTCCTCCATAATGAAAGATATAGGGAAATCTGTGTTTCTGTCCAGTCTGTGTTTTTTTGACAACTTGGTTATCACATCTTTACCCTGTAGACTAGAAATTTCATGATAAATATCAATATATATTACAGATACAGTGAAAGTCTCGAGTTAGAAGATGCAGTACACACTGCCATTCTCACGTTAAAGGAGAGCTTTGAAGGTCAGATGACGGAGGACAACATTGAGATCGGCATCTGTAATCAGGACGGCTTCAAAAGACTGAGTACAGCCGAAGTGAAAGATTATCTTGCATCTGTTCAATGATCGGTGTATAGACTTAATGTTATCATTAATTATCATTCATTCTTACTACTGAGATCTTAATAAATGAACACGAGATCTTTATAAATAAATAAGATCTTTATAAATAAACAAGATCTTTATAAATAAATAAGATCTTTATAAATGAGCGCTGTGTTTAGTTGGCAAATGTTAATGAGACCCGAAAAAAAAGTAGATTTTGATCAATACATTCAATTTATTTTGACAAGTGTTACATATATTTCTTATGATTTTCTTCTTTTTTTTTTTCATAGGAGATTTTTTATTTAGTTTGGAGCTTGTCACGAACTTTAAAGTATCAAAATGTATTTAATGTTTTAAGAATTGAAGAGAATTAAAATCACAGGATAACAAGTTTTTTTTTCCTAAAATTTACTGACAGAAGTGTTTTTAAATTTATAGATGAAAAATAGTGTTCAAATGAGAAACTTCTTAAATATTTGATTGAGTATTTTATACAGTAGTTTTGTTTGATTATCAATATTTCGTTTAAAACTAAATGTATTTTTATTTATCTCTAAAATTTCCTGTAACAAAAAGAGCTGTTATTTCAAAGGCAAAGAATCAAATTGATATGAAGGAAATTACAATTGATGTGCAACAAGTGCTATGTTCCATGTTTCTCAATAAAGAATGTAAAATGCAATATTATGTGTCACTGTTTTATATAGCATTTTTACAATTAAGTAGATACACCACCACTTTCCACTATCCTTGGGAATATCTCACATATGCTGAAAATATACAAGAAAAACAATTCAGTGTTTGTCAATTCCGGACCATAACCTGTACAGACCCATCACCTGTTCATTAAAACGTTGTTATGAATGCTCTCTTTCATAATGAAAATTAACTCAAATTTTGATAATAATAACATGCTTGTTTGATTACATTGTACATGTATAACCTTTAAAACTTTACATTACAGAATAAACCCTTGTAGCAGGTTTCTGTTGTATGTCTGAAGTAGTTTAAGTAGGATTTCTGAAATTGAATAGCCAATATGGTGTTTTTAGACCGCTGGCTTGTATTGATAATGAATCGTATAGCCAGGTATTTTTTTGTAGATAGCTCATATATATATATCATTGAAACAACTTTATTCTTAACACACGTGAACGCAATGCTTGATATTTTTAGAAAGCATATCATTTGATTTGAAACCATTTGTTTTTTATGTCTCATTTACCCTGTCACGTTTTGTGATAAATGGTGACTAAATATTTGTCGCATGTCTCTAAAACACACGTGACACTTTAATTTGATAAAGATCAAAAATGATAAATAAGCTATGATTTGACTCCACTGCGAACTTTTTCAGTTAAGCAGCACTGGTATTGAAATAAGTGATTAATTAGACACCGTTGACTTGATGATTGAAAAAAATGAAAGGTTCATTGAGACGTTGTCAATCACGTGCTCACTGGCATTGTCACAAAGTGAATTAAGAACTTGATAACTATACCTACATGTTTCACAGACACATTTCCTGCAGTGTGGCGTTTCATACTTTATACAAGATGGCTGACAGTCTGGCGGCAAAGGTGCGCAATCGCTCGATCCTGAAAATGAACCGAAGGTTTATAATATAGATGTGTAATGTGGTGTATAATACAAAGCTTTTGATAACAACTCTGTGTTTACTTCTACACTACGTCGTTTCATTGCCACTGATTGCGCGATTTTTGCTTTTGTCTCAAAAGGGCAGATAACAGGGTTCACACTTTAGTCGATTTAACTAGCCTACTAAGAACAGGGTCATACGAGACGATGTAGCTGACTTTTGGCAGACCTTGAAAATAGTCTTTTAATGATAAATTTTTAGTAAGCTTCAGAGCACTTTTGTGTATAGAATTGATATCATTGTGTGTTAAAGATACCGTTGCCTTGCACAAAGTCAGACGTTTCTATATTTAAAAAGACTAGTTAGAAGTATTTGTCAATGGCATGCGAAGATAAATTAGCCTCAATAGAGTAAAATCCTAGTTGAATCTCCTATTAGGTGGATAATGAAAAACGATTTAAGCTAAAACGTACCATACATGGCTATACCAGCCGTACTGGATCTATAGCCGGGGCTAATCCCTCCGACTCCTCGGTCACTTGATAAAATGTATCCCGAACTCTCCCCTCTACCGCTTGATAAAACGTAATTCGAGCCTCCCCCACCACCACCACTTGATATAACGTATCCCGTGCTGGTCATTCCACTGATACCTGTACCAGTGACGTAACTGACGCCACTTCCACTACTGATATGCGTGCTGACGTCACCGTAATATGTCTTCTCACAATTATCGCAAGATTTACTTGGCTTCATGACGTAATATAAAGGCCCTGAAGTAAATGTTTGATATAAATTATCATGTATGAATGAACTATGATTATATTCTTGATTGTGAAATAAAAATTAATTCAGGAGAAAATTTATATCACAAGAGCACTAGGTAGTCTTATTTCTAAGAATCTGAAGGGAAAACAAACAACAAACAACAACATAAAACAACCAACAACAACGATCTTAAGTTTAGATTTCTGCATGTATTTAGTTTCAGTTTTAATAGGCCGTATATAGATATAGATAACAATATTTTGTTAAAAGAAAATCCAAAAAACAAAGACTCGGAAGTATGGTGGCTAATTTGTGCAATTCGAGTTTTCGCCCGGCGACCCGCCAGGCGAAAAGTCGAGCATTAACGGGGCGCGGAGCGAAAACGCTATTTAGCGAAGTTTAATAAATAAAGCGTTGCCTCGTGTGCAAATATTCCGTGAATAGACTATTTCTAAAAATAATATTTTTTATGTAAAATGTCCCCTTTATATCTTATTTAAATAAGACATGTGCATATAACACTTATGTATTATGTATTATGTCTAAAGCTAGTGTAATATAAGCATTGCATAAAAAGTATGCACAGCTAAAGCACGTTTAAATCATGAACATTATAATTGTATCTTTTAAATGTGCATTGTTCAATTTTCAAATAACCTGGACTTTGGATATTTTTAAAGGGACTCGACTGGTGATTTTTGAATTGAGGGCACTGGAAATATTTTTTTGAGATATATGTTACATTTGTAGATCTAGACCAACATCTTGTGCAACATTTCAGATCATTCGCCAGACTTTTCGTAAATAATAACATTAATTTTATAACGTTATATGCAGTATTCAAATTTTTGCAAACTAATATAGTGCAACATTTTCAGTGATTCGCAGGTCAAAACGCATTGTAAATGTGATTATTTTTAAAGTCGATTGTAACATCTTTCGATATATCATTTGTAAATTGAGGATCTTGGAGAAATTTTATATCTATTTTTTTGTCGATTTACCCATTCTAAGAAAAGTAAACGCTTGGGCATCACGCGTAGTCCCTGTACATTAATTAAGTGGACCATTTTGGAGTTTATGAATGTACATACATGTACTGAAAAAGTGGTTGACTTGTGGAATGAAAACACATAAGATATTTCTTGAAATTTGCGTGTACGTTGCAGAAGCTGAAGATAATCGCGCAAATCCACGACGAAATCGCGAAACAAAAGGTTTCGTAAATGCAATATCAAAATGTAGCTTTCTTGCAATGCCCCATATGTTATAAAAGCCTTGAAGTAATTGAACTAAACCATAGAACGAAAGTAAATTTCCAAAGTATATGTAAATTGTGAGAATTTTCGTGATTTCATAAAAATATATGTTTCACAATCAACGAACATACATAAATATATATTTTATACAATTGCAAAGTTTTTCTAAGCAAATCTTGAAAATAAGAATAAAAAAACCACAAACAAACGTAATAACTCAAATCATTGCAATTCCTATGTCTTGCACATATACATACATATTATTTTTATAATATATTTTCATAAATCGCGGTACACTGTAAGTACACTAACTGAAATATGAATGCTTGGTTGTTTATTCCAAAATAAAGCTAAATTGAGTTTTGTATATATTATATGTAGCTAGTTTTCATTTTTCTTATGTTCAGTATACATCGCATTATTCAAACAAAAGTGATTATCGAGAGCATTTTATACATGTTAATATACAGATGTAGGCAAGTACATGAGTCATATGTTTTGTTGATCGAGACAGCCGCTAGTCGTTCATATTATAAAAACTATTTTAATTATATCTCATGTTTTCCCTCTTTTCTCAGCGCGGCCTTCAGTTTGCTTCGTGTGGTTATAAGTTTATAAGGCCATGCCAAAATTTGTTTCTTGTACACCTGCAAAATACCGTGATACATTTGTACAAAATATTCCATATACTGTATGTATTTTACATTTATTTAATACATCAAATAATTAGGCCCACTTCCTAGATTATTGATGATGTTCAATCGAGCAATAATCACTTAATTACAATAAAGTCTAAATATGTTCAATTTGTAATTTTTATACATACTTTTGCAATATAGTTCTGCCACATAACATGGGTCTTTTGCAACCCTTTATGCAACACAGTTCCACCATTTTTATTTATTCAAATAAATTTCTGATGGTTATAACTATTGTATTGGTTGGCCAGATTAACGCCACCTTAACACAAGAGATTCTCTTTTGTTTGTTTGTTTCATTTTACGCCTTTTCCCAACAGTATTTCAGTTATAAAGGCGGGTAGTTTCCTAACCATCGTTCCTGGAGAGTAACACCAGTACTAGACTACCTTCCCCCGCGCTAAACTACCAAAGCATCTCCCAGGGATCGAGCCCACGCCAGAGAGGTAACTGGATTAGAAGTCATCGACTCAAACGCCTCGACCACGGAGATATGAACAGTTGGAACACTTAGAAACCTTGTTTCGGCATGGCCATCCAAAAAGTACACATTATCGGAGATGTTATTACACATAGTCGATCAGTTTTAACAAAGGTAGATGGAAATGTGTACGCTTATTTGATTATAGTCCTTTTATAATCCAAAAAGGTTAAGTTAGCCTAAATCCCAGTTCTGAACTTTTTTTCATTTGCTATACATGAAAGATCACTGTCACGGCTTAAGGATCGTTTACACCAAAATAACAAGATGTTTCATGATAATAATTGATAAGGAATGTCTCTAAAATAAAATTCATGTTAATTTTATAAAAAATGTTTATCAATGACATCAATGTTTTAGAAACAAAACATTTTTTTTTATCAAAGTTTAATAAAATGATATGTTAAAAGTGTAATAAAGATTGTAATAAACGATACAGTTTTACAACATCTTTAAAGGTCTGATACACACTACTCCAAGAACCTGAGAATTGCAGAGTGCAGACTTCTCAGTTTTTTGTGCACTTAATGCACAATTATATAGCTTCACTACAATGCGGTTTACAACATGTGTTCCACTTTTCTTTTTGAAAAGACTATTGTTTTTCTTCTCTTTAATTATAAATAGATAAGAATGTTTTGTTTATTTTTCAAGTACAGATGCTTCTGCCTATGAGCTATGTCCTCTGCAAATCAAGCTGTCAAGAAAACAAAATGTTTGTCAGAAGAGCTGCAGCTCAGTATGGTGTGCATAGAAATACTTTATCTGACAGTTAAAAACAAAAAGTCCTGAAATGTTTTCTTCGGGTCGTTAGCCTTTGTTCTCTTTACAAGGTGAGACAAAAGAGAAAGAACTTTTCAACCATTTAACAAAATGGCTAAGCTAGGTCACGGCTACCCATGCCCAGAAGTTCTTGAAAAGGGTTCTAAATGTATACCAACTATAAAATGAAACCAACCTGATACAAAGAAATGATTTATGAGACTAAAGTCTAGTTAATTAAATTGTTAATTTAATTGTTAACGTACATTCTCAATGAAGAGCTAAATGTTCAGAAAAGGAGGCTGTGAATAAATACTTCATTAACTTCCTAAAGTTCTGAAGAACATCTGGGAAAATGAGCAAAACAGGCTGGTCGAATTCTAGTATAATCCTGGTGTATTTTCAGGAACATTTCATAAGGTATATTCATCGAGAAAGTTCTGGCCATCAGACCATCCAGCTCTTATTCTGTTTGATAGGCACAAATCTCATATAAATGTCCCTGTTATCAAGTGAGCTGAAGAAAATAATATCTTTTCATTTGTTTTTCTTGCACACACGCGCCATATTCACCATTCTCTTTATGAAGCATGCTTCGGCTCATTTTAGCGCATTTATAGCTGCAAATGTCATACATTCATCAGTGACTATCTTATTTCAAAAATTACCAGATACAATGAGAATGTGAACTTGCATGTTCTACGTGTACTGCTGGATTGACACACTGCTTTCCGAAAAACTGGTAGTTTTTCTTGCGTTTCTTTTGTCATCACTATCCAGCAAATTTCACCGTCCAAGGTCTATCATCAGATTAAATGCATAGTTAATGACAGTAATAGTAGTGTTTCCAAGTCATCTCTATTTCGTAATCAGAGAGGAAACATACTTGCATAGATGCCAATGATCAGTTCACTAACAGTATTATTGCCAAATGCTTCTGTCTCAGTCATTACAGAACCTGCTTTTAAACATGAAATCATTTCTGTTTTAACACACCGACTTGCAAAAAAGATCTAAAAGAAATGTAAAAGTCTTCAAAATCTAAGGTTTCGAAACCATCCTCATCTGCATCTATTAATAATTGTCCTGAATAATCTAGAATCAATGAATAAATCTGTGAAGGCGAGTCTGATAAATTCCAACCTGATAAATGTCATTATTGTCCTTCTTATTTTGAAATCACTAAGTTGGCTCAGCGTGATTTGTGTAATCAAAGAGTGCATTTTAAGTTTTGTGTCTAAGAAGACATAAACAGCTCCATTTCCCATGTCATGTTGAAGACCAAATAAGAATAATCAACATTCAATACTTTTTAACATGACTGTTACAGATAACTGGACTTCTGATATAGAACTTTTGAACTATGATTAGTTTTATAAACATGACACATCCAAAGACACAGTTTCAAAATGGATGCCGGAACTGTCTAGTTGTTTACATTGGTAATGCAGATTTTCTTCTTTAATTAAAACATGCCATAGTAAAACGTCAAAAAGGATCAGTATTACGGTAAATAAATTTTTCACATAAACTGAAATCATGATTTTTGTCTGTTTAAACCCATATTATGAAGGCAACTGGCCGGATCATGCTAGGTGTTTTGGCATTGAACAGGACCGCTTGCAAATTTAACATTAACAAAACTCGGATAAACATGTGTATATGAGCATCTTAGTTCATGGACTGGAGTTTCAAATATGAAGCCGTCACAATGTTGTTGTCGGCCTTTGTCTAGCAAATAATTCCTTCAATGCCGCCACCCTTTGTCTCTTCTCGATCGCTCTGTAAAGTTACTTCTGAAGGCATGGTGTCTCTCTTGAAAATTTTTATTATTGTATGGAGTGAAACAGCTTTGAATTTATTCATGTTATTAGGAAAATATACAGACAGTTTATGTAATGTCGATGATTCTACGCAGGTGCTCGATCGTGCTTGAAATGATTGGCTGTTGTGATGCACTAACTATCAAGGAGATTGCTCCTGATGGCAATGCTCAAACTTGGCCAAAATTTATATTAAAAATTTGCTCATTTAGCTCAGAGCTACTGTCCTTCCCCTCTGTGATAATAAAATCATCACTATCTTCATGGACATCCCGCTCCGGTGTGACTCAAAACTTTGTGGCCACCGATCCATCTCGTTCTTTCATTAATACAAATGACCATGTTATAGTGGTCTATTCTCTCGTTCGCCATCTGGTAATTCTGTTTTAAATAATAGCTAAAGTTACACCTACCTATAAGTTAATTGCAACAGTTGTCACATTAGCAATCATTGAAATGTTAAGCCCGTAATTATGAAAAGTAAACAATTCACATTATCATGAAAGAGTAGCGGCCACAAATTGCTTAAACGTTTGATATTTGACACTTACTTGTGAATAAAGTTATAACACGAAACTAGAATCATTATTCATGTTTATCTTTAAAAAGGATACCTTGGGAAAAAGCCCGCACCAAATTAGATTTATTTAAATTATCAACAGCGTTCCTGACTCTAATTTGTGTGAATCCCATTTCATACTCTCTGCCTAACTCCTACCGGGGTTCGCTGGGGATGATTTTTTTACTTGAGCCAATTTTTTCACATTTTTTTATTCCCAGAGGAACCAGGTCAGTGCTGTGGTTGTCTTCAGTGTTATGCTTAAAAAAACAGCCTTAATCGCCCCCTAGCTTGGTTAAAATATTTGCTGTGTTTACAATTTAGGTCTAGTCAAAACTACATTTTATTTAACGATTGCATTAATAAATGCATAATCTGGAAATAGTTAGACAATTTCAATGCAAATGATAATGAATTAACTTAAGTTTAAACAACTCTGGTTTTAATTTAAACTATATACTAATGCAATCACATCATACTGATTTGTAAAGGGAATTATATATTGTTCAAAAATGATGCTTGTTGATAGGACACACACATAACACGCATCATTTCTGATTATGTTTATTTTCAGAATAGAAACATACTAAGCCACTGAGTATACTTGTTTTCTGAAATATCTGCATTAAATTCACGGGGCTTGACACAGCCAGCATTTTCAGTGCTTGAATATAATACTTTGCAGCCACCGAGGTGTCAATTTCTCAATCAGGTATTGCGCGCGAAAATCCTAGATGGAACTTGGAGTAAGAGAGATTACAGTTGAAATGATACAGGTCACACGCTTGCTAGCATTACCTGTCCTGTTACGACATCTTGTGGATCGGTTGTTTGAATGTTTTAAGTTAACCCTATTTGGAAACGTTGATAATTATGGGAACCGAAATGCACTAACGAAATTTTATCAGCAGGCAATCACGCTTGAGTAAAGTGCAATGAATAGTGTGTTTCAAATATTATACTATTTAGTGGTGGGACACTGAACAAGTTACCTCTCATTTGTTATTACAGCATTGGTACTATTGTTGAATGTAAGAACAGAGTGAATTAGATCTGGATGCTATTGACACTATAAGGAAATCAGGTTTTGTATATGTTCAAGATTCCAGACTGTTTATTTGTTGTAATGCATAGTTTAGTTAATTAAGATAAATGAAGTAAACTTCAAACGCATAAATATTATGCATTTGTTTGTCTAAACTCTAAGACAAATTTGAACAAGCAAATTCGTTGAATCCTCCGACAAATTATTCAAATCACTTAACTGAAGCCTCTTAGTATTATGTTCTTTATGAGTTTTACCCTTAACTAATATTTAGTGTCCATGAAAATATAGAAAGGGCAATTACTCCAAAATTTTGCAAAAAAGATTAACGACTTGACTACATTTTCCTTAGCTTATATGTTATCTATCAATAGCTTATATGTTATCTATCAAATCTAAAAAATTGCATAAACAAAGTATGAAAAATCGCAATGGACTTTTATAAAAGAGAGCTACAATTCGTAAGCACATATGATGGTAAAAGTTCCAAACTAGACAGTTTATTCTGATATCTTACTTTTCCTTTTTTTTAGAAAAAAAGTTAAACATGCCAGGACCAGGCGCCTTGGAATAATTTTAGCAATATATAACCTACCAAACAATATATTTATGAACATTTTCTGATATGCATCAATTTTAATAGCATCTGGCATACTCTATTTTCAACAATTAGTTTTCACGGTAAATCCATCCTGATCAGGTGATTTTTCTACATTTTTGTTTGGGAATTATTGAAGTGTGGAAGGTTTACTGACATTATTTTCAGTCAGTAACTGTGATTTTGATGATTTTGCAGATATTGGAATGTCATTAAACCAGGAATTTCTGCAAAGGTCGCAGTTTGTCCTGGTTTTGTGGAGATAAGCATGTTACGTCTGTAAACCGAGCAGTCCTTAGTTTTTGCACTGTATGAATTTTCAGCGTGTTTTACTGTGATCATCATTAGTGTCAATATTTTATCTGTGTGTACTCTTGAGTCAACTCAATTTAATTTAGAAAGAAAATTTGACCCTTGGTTGTAATAAGACTTTTGGGTTAGTTTACTATTTCTCATTATCTAAACTTCAGTATTGGGATATTTAAATTATTGAAAACATCATAAGAATGGAAAATGCATATAGATTTTTTAAGTTTGCTTTTTGTTTTCAAAATTAATATTTCAATATAACCAATTGATTGTCCTCCGGGAGATGTTACTTGTTGGAAATTCCAGTTTATTGCAAACAGTGTTGTTATATGTTTCTGGTACTTCGGTATCATTGAGACTAGCACTTTTAAGTGCTGATAATTGAGTACCGCTCATGCTGGTGCTAGAAGGCGTGGTGGATGTTGCACTTTTCATTTTCCTTCATGTACAGACCCCCAAAAAAATCGAGTCTGCAATTTTCATGTAATTTTGCTATTTTTAATGCTTCCGATGGATCACTTCCAGATATTTGGCAAATTTGAACAATCGAGATAAATGAACTTGTATTTTTCTGTATGACTGTATACTTCGTGTCTTATAAACTGTCTGCTTAAAAGTATTTACTGTACATGTCAGCCGTTTATTGTCTTGTGTATAATATCACAAGCGATATTTTAATACGGCTGTTTTGGTACCTCATGGATACAAGAGGCTATTTTACTTAAGAATGCCTATGTGTTAATTATAATCAGCTAGTTACCGGATTTTTTTTCTTCCTAGAAGGCCAAATTATGACCTACATTTTGCGCAACACTTCCATGTGGCATATATGTACAGCGCTTATCATCGATGTTCTACTGTCTTTGGGAATTACAATCGTTTGACATCTTAAGATTATATCTTTCACCTTAGTGTGATTCAAATATTCTGCCACAATTTTTGTACATTCTTAAATAAGGTCAGGCAATGCAATTTATAGTCCGTCTCATAGTTTAAAAACGAATAACATTTTGAGCAGCTAAACATTTAAATGTAAATAATAGACACACGTTTTATATGACAGTATATGTCTGTAAATCAAGACATTCTGTCAAGAACGTGTTACTGACAAAAATTCCATGACAATGTATCGGCTAATGAAATATTTTGCCCCTTTCAAGAATAACTTATGTACAAGTGAAATTGTGCGAGAATAACATGTTTGAAGAAGCAAATTCGTTGAATCTCCCGCTGGTTATTACTAATCACATCAAGTACACTACACTTCACTCTTAAATACTTCAACATGTTAGTTTTACTCATAGGTATTGTTTTGCCAAAGTTTCAATTAAATATTTCTATTAATAACAAATTTTGGCAGTTTTAGATAGATTCAATTATTTAAACTTGAACGACAAGGCCATTTCGAATCAAATTAATATGTGTTGGTTTGGTTGTTTTGTCCATATGAAGGTCAACTCTGTCATTTACAAATAAAGAGCCAATTCTGGCAATTTTCAAGAATAAGTTTAGTTTAGAAACTCATTAAAGTATATGCTTATTCTAAAAACGGTGATCTTATGTCTACATATGCATTGCATGACATCAATGAATATTTTCATGTCGACCATATTTCAAGTTTTAAAGTAGTTAATCCACATCTAAGGAAAAAGGTTTACAATAATGTGTCAATTATTTTTAAGTGTCATTTATATTTTACAATCTATTGCACAAATGATTCATTCTAAAACTTAAAGGTGTGTACAAAAAAATACATCGGCCTTTCGTCTTTGATTATGCAACTGCAAATTATAATTAGCCCCTATTAACCTTACGTTGGCAGCATGGTTGTTAGAAAAAAAGCCAAAGTCAGTTTATAGTATACATATATATATATATACACCAGGCTATCAATGTCCATTCCTAATAGTTCATGTGTAACTGTCATTCTAAATCAATTGTGTCTTTGACTCCATTCCATACATAGATGTTGTTATTATATAGTAGTACTAGACTCAGTATAACTGTCCGAGAATTATGCAATTGGAATGTGGTCAGAATGTAGCAGACGAAAATCTATTTTTCAACGAATCTGTCATTATTTAACGGAACACCTTCTAAGTTCAATCGGTTGTTTTAGCTAAATTTTTGTAGGTTTCAGAATGGTACAACAAGACGTCGAAAATAAAGTTGTATATTCTGGAACAAATGGGAGAGCAGATACGTTGGAACGTGACGTTGAAATAACCAATCACGATGCGTGTATTATAAATGAAGAACCAAAAATTACTGAATGCCAGGAAAGAAATGTTCCTGATAAAGGATGGGCGTGGTTTGTTTGTCTCGGAGGATTTTTGGCTCATTTTATAATGGGTGATTCAATATCGTTTGTTTTTATTATCATTATCGTTACTTCAAATATTTGAAAATCACGGTATTTACTCATTTAACTTTTCATTGACAAACATTTTATAATCGTAACGTGATAAAGTTTTGTATAAAGGCGCATTATGCCTCAAAAATGCTAATATTTTCTAAAAGCCTTTTATTTTAGTGTCAAATTAATAGTTGCCAAAATGTTACTTTTTAGCCAATTCCCTGAACCATCTTTTGATTCAGTTGCTTTTTTGGCAACTACAACTGGAATAGTGATTCAGTATTTTTTATACCTTTTTGACAAATTATTTCCCATTTAGCGCTACTTACTTCGGGTGAAAAGCATCAACATGCTCTAAAATCATTCTTTAAACGTTTTGAAAATCTGTTTTGTCTTTTCTAAAGAAGGAAATATGTATTCGTTTCTGGGGCATAATGTGCTTTTAATCTTAAATTTGATATTGTTCAGATCTACGTATCTTTTTAAACAGTTTTTGAATTTCAGTTGGTATATTTTTACTGTTGTTCTGTTTAAGAAAATATACAAAACCGTCTTATTTTACACATTACACATGAACATTATTATTCTTACTTTATATTGTATGGGTAAAAATTATTGCTTTGTATGTAATAAGAGTTGATCCATTATTTTTTATTTGATCCATTTTCAATATACATGTATTTGAATAGTGTCCGTCTCTAAGATTTCTAGTGTATGTATGTAAATGTTTCAGGCGGGTTTGAACGTTCTAATGGTGTCATTTATCTTCGATTATTGTCACGTTTTAATCGTAGCGCTACATCTACAGCGTGGGTTATGTCTATTTTCTCCGCACTTAGACTCTTGCTAGGTAAGTACATACTTATCAGTACATACTAATCAAGACTACTATTTTGGCATGCTCCTTTCTATTCTATCTGATCTATTGTGGCACAACACTCACAACGTTGATACAAAAATCTATTATAATACGAGTAATAGGTTACTTTACTATATGCTTATGATGTTCCTTTGGATATGCTTATACCCATCTCCTTAATGTTCGCGTCAATTTCATCCCGTCGCTGTCTTATCCACCCGAGACTTTGCGATTACTAAGACCTGTAGGTTTAGTATTGAAGGCTAATACAGCTTGATCCGACTGGGTGAAGTATGTCGGACTATGTATTTGCCAGTATCACCAGAATAAGTTTAATCGAATTTCGGGCATTCACTTTGAATCTCGCTTACAAAGAGTCTCGTTTTAATTTTTTAAGCTGGTCTCACATACGTATTTACACACCAGCTTTTTCCATCAAGTATGGTGTAATATTAAATGGTAGCCCTATCTATGGACATGCTCGTCAACAATATAGCAAGGATTTGCGACCTTTTAGGATTGAATGTTATCCATCTGAGATTAACAAGTGAGCGCAGTGCTCACCTAGAGAAGCCGTACAATATCCATTTACAAACATCAAAAGAAAAGGCACCAAGCGAGAAGACAGACACGGGTCCAACAAAAGATTTTTGAGAAGAACACTTAAACTGAAGAAGCTGCCAAACCAGAAAAAAATGTATTATATATTTTGTCGTAAACAAAATCCTGTATGCAGTTTTAAATCTTTTACACAAAAAATAAGCTGATGGACCAGAAAAAAATCTTTTTAGCTCGCAATATCACAACACTTTTTTGTTTTTATTATCACAGGTCCTGTTGCCAGTGCAGCGTGTAACAGATTTTCTTGTCGTTTCGTTGTTATGCTTGGCTCTGCTATTTGCCTTCTTGGAGTATTGTTATCTGGATTTGTGAAAGATATTTCTTTCATGTACATCACGTACGGACTTCTTGGTGGTACCTATTTTTTATAATACATGCAATACTTGATAAATATCATGTTCATCAAACTTTTAACTTAATCATTCTTAAAATGTTAAAAGTCTATATTTTTGTTGGACTGAATTAAATAACATGTTACGTTAAATTCTGTCTCCAAAATGAATTGGCAATATCTGACAATGATAACTGAGTATATATCAAATTCTTGTTTTCACATTGCTTGTAATATCAAAAGCAAAATGAAATAGGGAAATTTAAAACAATGCTACTTAGGGAACATCTTAAACCGTATTTTCATTTTGATAGGTCTTGGGAGAGCTTTAGTTTACACCCCTGGTGTTATAGCTGTCGGACACTACTTTAACAAACGCCGTGGTGTTGCTGTCGGTATTGCAACTTCTGGTGTTGGGTTTGGATGTTTCCTGTTCCCGCCTACTGTCGAGCTATTGTTCGACCACTTTGGTTTTTCAGGGGCATTTCTTATACTCTCGGCAGTTATCAGTAATTTCTTTGTATGCGGGGCTCTATATCGCCCGATGAAGTTACAGTGGAGAATTGTGGAATTTGAAAGGTTTGTCGTTCTTTAATTGCTACGTGTTTTTCTTCTGTGCCTCTTTGAAATAGAAAAACATTGTCGTTTTTACCTCCTTCACATATTCTCCTTTCGACTTCTATTCAAGATTTTTGTCACATTATTTCTCTAATGTATCTTCTGTAACTTCAATTTCACAAAAGTATTACACAGTAACCAGTAAAACAAAGACTTACTTCAAAGCTATTATGTCAAACTTTTCTTTTAAGTTGAATCTTATGTAAACGGAATGTATTCTTATACAAAACTTCTTGGCATACATAAACACGGTATATTTGGTTCTTTTACCAGATTTTGCAAAATGAAACTAATTAAGATAATTTAAATAGAAAACAGACACAACAATTTAAAAAATGAAAATGTAGTTAACTATTCAATATGACCATCAGTGAGTACAATGTGATTGAAATGACGTTTACTGGTTCGAGACCTATTCCAGTTTTGCAAGCATTTGCATTTGGTTTACATCCGACATCTAACACCCATTTTTGCTACTTTAGGAAAAAGATCAATGGAGATGTTGTCAGAGAGAAACTGATATTTTCAAACACAAATAAAAAAGAAGCCGACACTAAACACGTAGCAAACGACACTTATCCTTGTGATCAGGAAACTCAAGTAAACACAAATAAGGTAGTTGTCAAAGGACAAAACATTACAACGCCACAGATAGTATCAAAACGGAAACTATCGCGACCTTCAACCTCTACGTCATCACAGGAGAGAAAACCTTTGTTAGACTTTGGATTATTCAGAAACTTTGCATTCTGTGCACTGTGTATGCAGATGTTTTTGTTTACTTTGTCAATCAATATAAGTTCACTATTCCTACCTGCTCTTGCTCAGGAGAAAGGTGTGTCTAATATTGAAGCAGCATACATGGTTTCAATCCTCGGCATATGTGATGCTGTCTGCAGAATTGTTTTCTCTACACTTTTAGATCTTAAACGTGTAAAGCCATACAGATTGATAATATATAATTGTGTAATATTCTTCACGGCAATAATTTATTTTTTACTTCCGTCAATGATAAACTTTAGCCAGTTTGCCGTAGTTTGTGGACTGTACGGGATGTTGTCTGGAACATATATGTCACAAAAGTCAGTCGTTGTAGTGGATGTTTTAGGTGTAGAAAATCTGTCCAGCTCCTTTGGATTTCTAATGTTGGCTCAAGGTCTGAGTAATCTGATTGGATCACCAATTGGAGGTAAGGTGTATGGTTATTATTGTTACTTTTAAATAATAATGTGTTGCTATTATTGTTACTTTTAAGTAATGATATGTAACGTTTTTGTGTTTTCTTGTTGCTTTACATGAACATTGATGTGTTATGGTATTTGTTTTGCTTTTAAATTTCATCAGTCGTTTTGTTTTTTTAAATTATTGTTTATTCTTGGTATGTTTATTTGTTTCGTTGTTTTATTCTCTGTTTATTTTAAGTGGTTTTTTTTATTGTTATATTGTTTTATTTTCTTTCTGTTATTGTTTTAATATTGTTTTTGTTTATGTGTTTGTTTGATTGTTATTTGTTTTTATGATAAATGGACATTTTCGTTGATGCTCCTTTTGTTTTATTTTTACTTTATATATTAATCAATATATAAACTATTTTTTGTTAAATCAATATAAGAAATAAAGGTTAGTTCATTTGGAGTGGTAATTTAATGTAAATTTAAAGTATGGTTTGATTTGGTCTGGCTTAACGTCGCACCAACACTGTAATGGTCATACGGCGACTTTTCCCTCTCTACTGGCGGAGGAAGACATGTGACCCTCTTTAAATGATTTCAGTCACGAATGAGCGCCTCAATAGAATTACCGGCTCTGTAAGATAGTCAAAGTATAGATAGACGCTAAGTCTTACTATATTTATACTTCTGCGGAAATGAAAAATGACGGAAACAGAAATGCTAAGTATTTAACTGCAGTAAAAATATGTAATCTTTTGGTCCTGTCTTTAAACAATATATGATATTATTTAAATGTTTTGAACGTCAAATTATATTGTTGTGTACGGGTATCTTATTTCCGTATTACAAATGCTGATAATAGTATTTCTGTTTTATGTGATTCATTGTTTTAAATATTCGCTAATATATAACTTGGACTTTTCAATCTGGACCTAGCCATTAATCAATTTCAGGGAAAATTTAACATATAGCAAACAATGCGTAACTTGATCAGATGACACGGATGTGCCAACAGGTTTTGGTCTGAACTAGCTGCATGGGTAGCATCTGCTAAAGGTTAAACATGTTAAAATGTGAGCTAATTTGCTTTCCAGGTATATTCAAAGACGTTCTGGGTACCTATGACATAGCTTTCTATTTCGCTGCATTTGGTATTTTCCTAGGAGGATTGGCTATGGCAGCCGGAAATATTTGGTTGTACAAACAAAAAAACAAACGGGACAAGAGGAGAAACATAAAAGAATAAATATAGACAAAACTCCGATCAACAGATTCGATTTATTTAAATGTCTTACGTTTATAAAATAGTTTTTCCTTGACCAATAATAACTAATGATTTGAAACAAAATATTGCTCAGGGCGGGTGTTGTATTCATCTGATATTTGTTATCTGAAACTGTGTCACTGCTTGTGGCAGCTCCAATTATTTAAACGTTATGTTGCTACCTTCTCTTTATGTCCGTGAATATTTTGATAAATATTATAAGTTTTATACCCCTGGTAAATATTTGCCAATTCCAGTGGTACATACTTTCACAGTCTGGCTCTTGATATTTTGTACTTCTGGAAACGGAAATAATTTAATTGGCGATGACATATGAAATTGTAGCGAATATTACTTGATTAACGTCCATGAACATTTCTCGACGATATCAATTACCTTGCTGAAGCTTCTATCGTTTTAACTACAATCCGTGTTTGTTATATAACAGTTAAAAGATTGGCGTTCATAATTTTTGTTTTTGGATAAGCATGTTTTTACAAACCGGAAGTATGAAAGACATACATGTTGACGGTATTTAAGCTGAATCAAAATCATATAAAGGTTTTTTTTTTATTGAAACAGATCAATTATCCTTTTCAATCATGATTTCAACAAAAGCACATTTTAATACCCCTTATAACTTTTCTGTGGAGAATGTGGTATCATCGGCATGCCGGTAACCGTGGTAAATACTACCCGTAGTATTACACTGTGGTACCATCTATTTTTTACAAAATAATTCCTGTTGCTATCCAGCTGTTTGTGGGATCTCAAAGCTTCATACTACATTATACATTAATTATTATGATTCAGTTTTCAGATATTACGAGTGATGTCAGAGTGTGTGTCGGCATCTATCCTGATAGACTGCAATATTTTCAAGGCTTGCTACATATATTTACCGTCATGAAATACTTACAAAAGTATTCTATTTTGCTGCTCTATTCGAAAATATGAAAATTAATTATCAACAAGGAAGGTTGGCATTCAAATCAACATTTATTTTATAGTAAACTTTAATCTGTACGTATGATAAAACGATGGCATATCAAGTCAAAAGCATATCAACAGAAAAGACCTGATATTTCGTAAGCCGTTATGATAGCAAATAAAAATATTTAAAACAATGATATTTTTGCATATGGCGGGATTCATTACCGTATTTTCCCCAAATTGGAATGTGAATACAGTATGATCCATTTGAATATTTCTTACAAAAAGCTCCATTAGAATTGTCAAAAAGAAGTTGGAATGCTATTGTTTTAACATCAGTGACCATAAGGTGAAGTTTTAATAGACAACTTTGGACGTGATATTATAAAAATGGACATCAGTGTGTATTTCTTGATTCCACGTGAAAGTAAAGTAAAACAATAGACTCATGTGAATTGAAAATTAGGATATATTTAGGAAAAATAAAACGTAAAAGAATAAAGTGCTAGCTGTGTTTGCTATGTTTCACTCGATATAAATTTTGATGTAATCATTTTAACAAGACATTATTGAGGGCATTTGAGTATAGGTGTGGTTGCTTACGTGTGATTACAAAAGTAATCAGAAATGAATAACACCAAGAGCGGCGGCGATTTTGTCAAAAATTTAAACAAACTTATATCAATTTTCATAATGACCTTAGCTATGTGGAGGTAAGAAATCATCAGTGAGTTTGGGAGGAAAACGCACATGTATTTGTAAAGAATATTAACACGGGGATACATTACAGTTGTTGCAAATTGGGAATATGTGACGCGGATGAACTAAGAATTAATGATATGATCAAAAGGCTTTTCTCACGTATTAAGTTCTTGTAAATTTCAGCATCACGATTTTGCTTTACTTTAATGTAAATGTGGCACAATTTTAATATGAAAATTGGTAGCCACTGGCTGCTTCTTTTCTTGTTGATATTTTTTCCCATTTGGGAATTGTGAAAGATAGTTTTATGTAATTAAAATTCAGTGCCAGAGATCAATGCCATGAACGTATATTTTACAATTAACAAAAGCCAGGCTTGTTTTAAGAGGTTTTTTTTAATCCCTTTAAGAATTATCTATTTATTACAATAAAAAACTGACTTTTGCTCAAGGAACGAAAATAAAGTCCTCTGTGAAAATCAACGATTTTATTACTGTAAGATTATATTCTTGTCAACATTTATGCTATTTTAAATCATTAGAATTGGCGGGTCATAAGTATGGCGTAAAACTTTTTAGAGAATTAAAACACTTGTTTTCAACTTGGTTATAATTGGCGATTTACAAATGAAGTATAAAAAATACAAATAAAATAACAACGGATCAACAAAATGATTCTGTTTATTTTAACTGCATTAACGTATACCTAGCTTAGGTCCCTTTTCTTTAAATCTGCCAACTCTATTATTAATGGGACAGACAGTAAATAGTTCCTGTGGAAACTGGACCATGGAAAGAAAGGTACACATTGTCCTCCAGCTAGAGTACGTGCAAAATTGTTCAGCACACAACTGGGGTTTGTTGATAATTTCAGTTTCTCATGATGTTTATTTCAAAATATGAAACTAAAATGAAAACAAGGACAAATACTAGTTTACTTAAATTCGATAATAAATGACATTTAGATTTGTTTCTCGTCGTGTGATCATCTTCGTAATAAATACAGTATATAGATATATAATTAAATGAGTTTCGTACCAAGACTTAAAAATAAACAAATTCTTTTCAGCTTACTTGTAATGTTTATTTTTATTACAAATAATCAAGGGAGATTACTCGGACAACCAAAGCTATTTTACCATGAGTTGTCTACCTTTCAAAGAATAATGGCGATGATCTAAAATGGCGGTGCTTTAAATTGGCGGTGTTTTGAATTGGCGCTACTGACCCTGACCGCCAATATAGCCAAATATAAACCCCCGCCAAAATAAGTACTTATATAGTATATGAAAATAAAATATTTATCATTGCAACATTTTACAATAAAGAAACGTATATCTTAGACATAGGATTGATAACGCGTATTGTTAGCGAAGAACTTTTCAAGAAGTTGGAAAATTGAATCATTTTTTCAAATTTGTATCAAGTATCCTTTTTCAAATGAATTTATTTAAAAATATTTCATAAGAGTAATAAAATTCAAACATTGGAGATACATTCAAAACGGCAATAGTTTCCATTCATTAAAAATCCTAGTTTTTATAGAACTAGTAACCGATTGAAGATACCTTATTCGTTCATATTAGAAATTAAGCAAACCATTATCACATTTATAATCAAACAAACCAACAACTAGACTTCTGTGGCGAAAACAACACATAAATAGAAAGATACAAGAACTTGTATCGAACACGCTGGAGTAGCATTTGCAGAATCATGCGTCAGCTAACCATGATCTGCGTAATTGCGCACATTAGGGTCGTGAGCATGTTGCTGTACTGAGTCGGTTAAAAGGACTACAATCGTACATCAAGTGTACCAGACATCTTGAAACTTTGGAATGGAGGAGCCTAGATCAAAAAACGCATAGATCAGCGTTGTATTATGTTTCATAACATAATGTATAATAAGGTTGCCATTTCCCTTTCAGACTACCTCAAACATGTGACAAGACCAACTCGAATTCCCGTTTCTTCTAAATAAAATCAAACAAAACAACTACCGACTACTTATAATATTCATACTTCACCCAGAATCATCTCTGAAATGCCAGATGTTGTCAACTTGTCTGGGCCAATGTTCAGTATGGCTGTAAGCAAATTTGCAAATTCTACATTTCCATTTATATCAATCAAATATACTTACCTTGTTTACACTGGCACTTTGGGCAACCTCCGTCAGTTTTTATCACTTCATACCCGTAAGGACATTCACCTGAGCACGAATCAGTGCTCGGACACTGGACTATCTGGTATTGTGGTCCTGGTCGCTCAACAGTATATTGTGGTTTCGTAGCATAAACAGCTAAAATAACGCAATTTAAAGATGTTAAAGGGGAATAGCCAGACGGATCGTATATGAAAAAAAAGGAACAAACATAAACATATGAGGTATTAAATAACTATGTAATAGAATGAAGCGCTTTTCAAAAACCGAGAAATGTAAATGAAATATTGATTTAAATATGCCTATCTACGAGTAAAATGTTTTCAATCGCAGAAGTTTATTAAAATCAAGGAAATACTTACTGCATATATCTTATTTAACTAAAAGAATGTACAAGTCATGCATAGGAAGCTGCATTTCTTATAACGGTCAATTACAGTTGGTCCTTTCTTTAACAAACTGCCAGTTTTTGTTTTAATGACACTATACACGCGTATTGATATTGTATCCACCTATATTCAGTTTCAGTGTATTCAGTGTATTCAGTTTAAAGCATACCATTATCTACTTTATGTGAAGTCAAAACATGTTTATTTTACACATACAAAGAGACTGTTTAGTATTTAACAATATTTTCAACAATCAAATTTGAGCAAAGTATATCTTTAAAGTTAGTTATTTAAACAGTTACCTTGTTTGCACGCGCATTTAGAGCAGGAACTCATGCCGTCAGTGAACAGCTCATATCCGTGCGTACACGTTGCGGCACATGTAAGTGTATGTGTGCATGTTTGGGCAGTGTATTGAGGTCGAGCTGTAAATATGAGAATATCGATACATCATTCTTTAAAACATCTTAAAGACAAATAATTCCATCAAACATAAAGTAGAACATATATTTTATTTCATAAAATGCTATACAAATCATGTGAATATATTTATATAAATTTTAAACATGTAAATCTTGCTCTAGCGCACGAAAATTAAAGCGATAACTTATTAAAATTGATATCATTTATAAATGTTTGAGAAATAGCTACAAATTTTCTTATTAATAAAGAAAATAGCTGACCTATCTATTTTTGCAATCAAAAAAAATGAAAATCTTCATTTACTAGTTTGATTGTTAAACTTCTTCACGTTTAAATATTCAATTAATTACGCGTTGTCTCATTTTGCGCCTGATACTCACTTTGTATGTAATTGGTTGTCGTAGCAACGAGGCATTCACACGTTGGACAACCGTCAATACCACACTTGTACCCTAGACTACAGCTTGATGGACATGCCAGCGTATTTCTGCACCGGACGGGCTTCTCAATATAAACCTGATGAACCGTTGAGAGTCCGACAACTAAAATAGTAATATAGATTATTGTGATGCTATATACTTTTAAGCTGCGGTCTCACGTACTCCCGGCAAAGCCCAGGACCACCCCGGTAAGTTACTGGGATGATCCGGGACGATCTGGGGTGAAATTATTGTTGCGGTCACACTAACCCCGGCAGCACTACTAAGGATGAAGCCGGCAAAGCTATACCTTCCCGGATTATCCCTGACCACCCCGGTGATATTAAATTTTTTATTCCATCCGGGGTCGAATGCCGGATGTTCCCGGATCATCCCGGACGTTGCCGGCAGAGTTACGGATGTACTCTGATATTTATGAAAATACAATGTATATTTGTATTGATTTATATATTCAAACATGTGATTGTAAACTGTTTATTTTAAATACACATAACAAATGATTGTTATTTGATTGTTAAGAAAAACGTACCAGCTGGGTGGATGCATTCGCAAGATGGACATCCGTCTCTGCCACATTTATAGCCAACTGTGCAGCCACTGTTACACGAGTGGGCGGCGCAAGTTAGAGTCAATGTTTGAACCTGTTGCGTATATTGTGGAGGTTCAACGGCGATTTCAACAGGATATTGATATTTCTCTGGCGGTGGCTCTACAGCTATTTCGATGGGTGGAACATAAGGCTTTTCAACTGAAGTATAAATCTTTACTGAACAAGGTGAAAACCAGAAAGGGTCAAATATTTATTCGCCGGAGAGGCTGCAATGATAATATTGGATACAAATCCAATGATCTCGAATTCATCTCCGCGACTCCAACGTCAATTACTCATAACTTGGTCTGGACTAAGTAAACGGGATTTAAATTAAAATATACAGAGAGATGGTAATATAAAAGAAAGGTTGAGAGAAAAGTACAATGCGAAAGTACTGAAATAATAGAATCGATGGAGCGTACGTTCATCCCTAGTTAGTCTCGATCCTATGGTTGAAAGCCACTGGTCACCGGCTGTTATATGTTTGACTGAAAGGTCAACACATAGAAAGAGAACATAATATAATAAGTATTCAATAAGTGTATCACATGTTCTTATCGCTTAAAAATCATCGAGGAGAAAGCTTAGGGTTGATGTGGTTACATATTACCTTTTAGACAAGAGCATTCCGGACATCCGTATCCATCAGTTTTAGACATGACATAACCTCCGCTACACGACCTCATGCAATATGCTGTCACACTACACTCCTTTTTGGCAGGTTGTACTGTCTGGACTATATAGTTTACAGTTGCTGGAGTTAAAGAACTGTGCACAGTCACAATTTGTGATTTTAAAGTCACGGGGGAGGAACTGTTATACGAGGGATGGAGTTCTAATGATAACTTGTCAGGAGTTTTTATGATAACTGTTACGGAGTTCGTCGGAAAACTTAAATTAGTATTTGACACATAATACAAGCTGAAAGGCCAGCTTAATCATTAAAGTTTAATTTAGCACCTAAAACACATTTTTAAAGATGAAAATGACCATATCTGATGAGTCTTTCTGTAGTATATACAAAAGTTTGCCAACAACTCCGTGACAGTTATCACAAGAACTCCTGACAAGTGATCATAAGAACTCCATCCCTCGTGTAACAGTTCCTACCCCGTGAACGTATCATTTCGTAACAGGCAATGTAGATATAGATGCTTATATTCATTGAAGTACTAGTACGTATATACATGTATGTATGACCCTATAAAAATATTTGAGGTTTACAAATAATAGGTATTTAAAAGTGTATAGAAAATGATATACTTGTTGACACGTGGTGACTTGACGGACATGAGCATGATCGACATCCGCTAGAGCTCGTGCTGCCAAGAACATATTCTTTGCACGTGGACGAGCATAAAAGTGTCGCCGCACACTCTTTCACTGGTTTAGTTGTAACAAAGGTTTGTGTTGAAGTTGAACTGACTGACCCGCCTCCAACATAAGACCCGCCTCCAACACTTCCAACACCATTTCCAGTGACAGTTCCACTATTTCCGCTTCCACTGGTACCACTTCCTATTTCAAAATATAAACTAGGTATCACTATTGCAGTGGTTTTAAAGTGTACAGCTCAAGCCGGTGCTAGGGGGCGTGACGGATGTTGCAATTTTCATTATCCCTTATGTACAGACACAATCAAGCCGCCGAGTCTGCAATTTTCATGTTATTTTGTTATGATAAATGCTTCCGAGGGATCACACTGTATCCAGATTTTTAAAGGTTTTTATTAAAAAAGTATTTCAGTACATAAAACGCAGCCAGATCTATTTGTCTAATTTGTGTAGATAAAATATCGTATTGCATACCGAAACTACTGCCATGACTACCTCCATTTTGTATAGCTCCGCCCGTTGGCACAGCTCCACCCATTGGACTGCCTGACATTGGTCCACCCATCGGAATACCAGGCAAAGCTCCGCCCATTGGACCACCGGCACCAGCGTTCATTCCTCCACCTAAAATTAAACAGTAATTTAAAGTTATTTGATTTCCACTGAGCAGAGGAAGACGACGATTTAGCGACAAATTGCAGATATGTAATTTGTTGCTTTCCAAAAAACAACATCAATGAGAATCTTGTTTAATTTATACCTCTCTAGAAAAGTGTAGTTCTACATTTGTGTTTTCAAATCTTTACTGAAATTGTACACTGATAAAAGTCATTGTTGAGTGCTTATTTTATTCGTAGAACACGACATTCGTTAAAACAAATTGCTTTTAGAGCAACATATGATGAATGGGTAAAAAACATTGTTATACATAATGTAAATGTTCATTTTTTAAAAATCATTTATTGAACTTTAACCGCACTTCCGTCTTTGGTTAAAGGGAGGAAATTCGTTGAACACTTAAATATGAATGATCTAAGAGTTCACTACCTTTGATACCTTTCATACGAACACAACATAATTAACCATATTTTATTGCCTATATACATGAAGATAAACACACAAAATAGAGCAATATAACGCTTCAGCAAATGGGTCGGGCAACATTACAGATACATGTATTGGGTAGTGATGAAATATGATTTTTTTTCTTTTTCCGGTAGTTTCATAAATAACAAACGAGCCGTTTCAAAATTTGTGCGCAATATTGCAGAAAACATCTCTTAATATGTACAATTTATTTAATGTACAATTTGTTACATTTATGCCCTAAATCATTACAGAGGCTCAGAAGGAAGACTGGGCTTTCCTAACTATGTTATATTGAAATAAAATCTTTATCTTTATTATCATTTCTATGACGGGAGTGGAAAAAGCTTCTCCGAAATGTAAAGAAGTTGCTTTGAAGCATGTTTATTCTACCTGGTCCACAAGGACATGACTTGCAACCATTAGAATCAACGGCAAGGCACCACTTTGGACATACAATATTATGGCGAACACATCCTAGGCCTACTGACGTCCTGAACATAGAGCTCGAACTTCCATGACTCTGACCACCCATCGTCGGCCCTCCCATAGATGGTCCCATGTGACCCATTCCACCCATGGGTCCAGACATCGGTCCACCACTGTGCCCGGAATGGAATGGGCTCGCTCCCATTCCGCCCCCGAAAGGACTTTGTCTAGGCTTCCTTTCGGATGGTGCGCATTCTTGAAAAGGTAAACGAATGAAATTTTATGTTTGCTGATATAATTAATAAGTAAAGCATCATTGTTAAAAAAAGCATCACATAATTTCTATTATGCTGAATAGCTTTTTTTAATGAATCAGGAATTTGGAAATGCCACTGCATTAAAGCAGCACGCCTCCAGATTAATGCTAATTTTCATGAAAACTTTGAAAATGTATTTGAATGTGTGATTTTGTGAAGTAACCAAAAGGGAGCAATTTACACATTATCAATGGCACTTACAAACCACGTAAATTACTAAAAAGTGGTCAAAATGTGCATAAATAGTTTTACCGTGTTAGTAACGCAGTAGAACTTTAATAATTGTAAATACTTAAAAATCAGTTGTTAATCAAACATAATATGTAAAATATTACTTGAATTTTGAAACTTTTTACTTTTTCATTCATCTTTAAATTAGTACATTATTTTTTAAGTTTGATTTTATTGAAATATTTTGACTCATCTGGAAGCATGTAGCTTTAAGTAGAAATTGAAAAAAAATGTACTCAGTGAACTGTAAAACAACAAAACTTATATTTATAAAACTTGGGATGTTCATTTAACAAATCTGTCTGTATGTAATATTTATTAAAAGAAGCTTTTCTGAGAAACAGCATAATTATTTAAGAACTTAATTTATTGCCAATTAATTTATCATCTGGAAGCATACGATAATAGCAAACTTTTAAAGTACAGATTTTGGTTTAAATCAATCAAATCTTAATATTCTATCTAGAGATTTAAAATTTTCATGAGCCTGCACATTTGTGAAAAGTATGCTTTTCTGACGGAATAAATACAGGGAAACTCAATTATTTTTGAATAATGAGACAGTTTGTACAAACTAATAGATAATATTATATTCTATGGCAAGTTATCTTATTAAATTAAAAGAAACTATTTTCTGTATATAAAGACGACACATGATGATGAAAGTATGAATTGATCTTGTGCCGGATGCTTCGCTGGAAGATTTAGAATCAGGCATCTTAACTTGATTTAATTGGATAGTTAACTATGTATTAAAACAATTTGTAGATAAATCAAATGGTTTATGTGAGAACCCATGGATACGCCTACGGTATCTTCCCCTTACATCTCATTTAGAAAAGTTAATGTTGCCTTCTGACGTCATATTGACTTTGTTATATACTTATAATTACAATATTGACAAATAATGATGAAATAAAATGCGTATTTTTATTTTCCGTATTTTCACTGTAAAAAAAATAATTTTACACTGCAGTGAAACATATTTTCCGTATTTTCATTGGTGCTTTACCGGACTACTATCTTCTTATTTCAGTTGGTTTTTTTAAATCTTTCTATTTGTAATGTCAAAAAAGAGAAAGAATTGTATAATAAATGGAAAATTCAAGTTTTTTTTCTCAAGAAATACAGGACTTATCTTTATCTTGCAGTATGAAAAATATCATATTTCACTCATGGCTACCTCCACTCATGAAAATAAATCCTGTGTTTATAGAAAAAAAACTATTTATTATATAATTTATTATGTGAATTATACACGTGCAAAAGTGACATACGCCTCGTGAATTCATAACACTATAATTATGACTACGTTATACAATTAAATGCGAAAAAATGGCAAAAAAACAACAAAACATGAAGACAAAATAAGAGCTTAACAATTAGACAAATAATTTACATTTACTTCCCATGGTTTTATGACAAATCAGAAAAAAAATGTCAGAACAATTCCATTAATTTCTTAGTGACATAACGGAATCTGACAATTTTTGTCATTTCACATTAGTTTTACTTATGATAATTTGTCGGAGAAAAAAAGTTATATCTAACTAGCCAGACGCAGAGGTAATTAATATATATATTTTTTTTTCTGTACTTGCTTTAGTATGAGACAACTCAGACCAGATTCTATATATGCATAATAACATAAAATTTAAAGAAACTCCACTGAGGTCTGAAAAAACATTAATTTCTTACATAGATCAGCTGGGGAAGTTAAAGTAGACAGATATGCAAAAAGATTATAAAGAAATATACTCAGAAAGAAATAGAAAACAGTATTTTTATGCTTTTCTTTTGGATAATTTTTCACAGTTAGAATACTTAGAATCTATGCACACAATTTATTGGTCTAGACCTGCATCATGTGGAACAATAATTTCGAAAAAATAATTCCAGTATCGTCATGTCAAAAAACGTCAGTGGAGTCGCTTTAAATGTGTGATGCTACAAAACACGACACGTTTTCCATTGTGTTAAAGCAGTCATTAAAGGGAATTACAAATATTCTAACTTATGTAAAAACATTGAAAAAAGAGAGCGCTCTTAAAACCTACCTGTTTGAAGTATTGCGATCAAAAACAATAATCCAAATTGTTGATAGGTTGGCATGTTCATTATGATTTAGATAAAGAATAATATGTTAAGTAAAATGTTAATTTCCGGTTTTGAAAATAAAAATTAAATTGAATATCGCAGAAATATAATTTTTGAAGCATATACACATGTTAGTGAAAATTTACAAATTGTCAGATTATGTTTTTGTTAATTTATGATAATAATAAGAGACGTGTTACTTCTAAAGGGTGATAAAATAAAAAGGGCACCTGTTCTTGGCGATAACGGCGACAATGACGTAAAGGGAGATAACTCTGTTTAGTAAGCTGGAAAGATACGTTACAAGGAGATACTATTACAGATAAATTCGTGGTAGATATTACACTTTCTTGTATGATGATAAATTAGAAATTTGTCCATATGTAAATACATACTAATGCACCAGTCTTTAAAATTTAAAGTAATATCTAGGAAACAAGTTAAAATAATTTTGTGTTCGTATTTTTTTTTTATTTGATACATGTTTATAACGTTCTTAGACGTCGGTTAAATAACTTAAATATCATATTAAAATTTATAAAACAAGACTTAGAAATTAAGTGAATATCTTTTTGACAGTTTAGATCAGGCCAAACTGAATAAACACATTTTAAGGTAAATTCCATTTACGTAAACCCTAACATACATAAAAAAAATCATACAGACTATTAAAACCTTGTCAGAAGATAAGTTCGAGCAACATCCAAATTGTGTGTAGTCTCAGACAAATATTTTGCATCACAGTTATCACAAAAGTGATCAGTGATCTGATGATAGCCCATTAAGCAGGTGTATCGAGTAGTAATTGGACAGTTTGTTGGAAATGTAAATTGACTGTATCTAGAGATGATGTTACCTATCTGAAGATGCTAACAGGCTAACATTTTGTTCCATCGGTGGGCACAGTAAGAGGCACATGTAGTTTAGTGGTAGCTGAAGTATGTTTCAAGTATACCGAAATTGGTTTCTTGAATATAAGTGAAGACTAAATCCAATGTTGTGTTGCTGATTGTTGTAAGCCTGTGTTTTTTTTTATTTTGCTGCAGTCTATATGTTTCCATGTACGTTTTTTAGCTTTAACTGTTGTTTCCTCTGCCCTTCACAGTTGAAATCTCTCACTCAGGAATACCTTCACTTCAGAAATAATGCTATTGTATCTGTTTTCAGCTTTGTATATATACACACAAACTGACGTTTTGTGTAAAGTTTGGATGAAATTGAACGGACGGCCAGGCGGACGCACAGACAGACAGACAGACGACGGAGAAGCTATTCCTATATGGCAGACGGAACAAAAATCTATAACTGGCCAAAATATATTTTTTATTCAAGGGAAATAACTCTGAAATGGAAAATTCCGACTATGCGCAACTAGTTTTTATACTGATCATTCCTGTAAGTTTGGACGTAATTGCACCAGTTATGTTTGTGGAGTAGTCCGCACAGATTTTGTTATGAACGGACAGACAAAACGAGGGAGAAGCTTTAGGGAAATGACCGGGGAAATTATGATAGGAAAAAAAAAACGAAATAAATCGCCAGTTCAAACTCCGTGAACAAAACCATCATAAAAAGTCATTTCATGGTGAACTTGTGACTCGTGCAAAAAAGTTGTTATAAGCCTTATTCAATTATACGGATACAGATAGTAGCGTCATAGTGAAGCCTTGTGCTACAGATTAAATACGAAGCCATAATATATATCCTTGTCTGCTTTAATCACATTACTATGCTGCCATTTTTGAAGGAGGGGGAAACAGAAAGAAAGAGAAAAAGATGGATAGTTTACGGTTGTAGGAATTCTAATCAAATTGGATTAAAATTGTGATACATGTACCAACTCATCATCAAACTTCAAAAAACACAGCCATCTTCCTCCTCTCCGACAAAATAAGTTAAAAAAGGAATAGATGAACGACCGAGTGAATACAAAAAAATGTAAAACAATAAAAAATCGTGTAAAACCTTCGGTACAAAATTCTACAAGTGCCTGACTTCCATGACTATAGTAATGTAAAAGAACTTAAAGTACTAACTCTTTCTATTTGTACAGTATTATAACTATAATAAAAACATACAGGTTTAAAACGCTTTGTCAGTAAAAGTTGGTAAACTAATTAAAATTATTGAGGAATTTATACAGTCAAAGTGACTTAAACACATTACTACAAGTTTAACAGATTATGTGACATTGTAGAAAATGATACAATGGTAGAATAGTTAAACAGAAAGTCGATACATTCTATCAGATTACAGAAATGTAATAAATGTTTACAAACTTTATACAATCATTTTGTATAATCTATTACCAGCTGTCAATTCTCCAATGTTTTAATCATATCGTTCGTCTCCGATCACATTCTTTTCAAAAATGGCATGAACAATGTAAATAATAACACTTTAAGTTGATACGTTTTTAATAGATAGATACATGTAGATTGATGGGGGGTTTTAATAGATAGATGCATGTAGATTGATGGACGGACGGACACAGTCCTTGCTAAAATATCTTTCATAAATGTTTTTCAGCGGGGTATTATGAAGTTTGATATATCATAGTGACCTTATGTTATACTCTTGACAAAAGCTAAGTTTGAACAATTACAAAGGTTAACAACTTCAAATCTTGTGAGAGAGTTACGATTCATCGGGAAGCTCTATGGCTTTGTTGTTTATTTTTTATGAACATGTTATGGAGTGATTAACAAATGGATTTGTAATATGCATGAAGATTTCCATAGATTTTGTCCATTTTTTGTAGATTAGATGCACATAGTACCATTCCTTAAATAATAAAAAACAACAACATAGTTTTGTTCTATAAATTTATTCCATTTTAGAATACCAAACATTACGACATTCCATGGGAATATACAGTGTTGTTTTATGAAATAAAAAAAAGACGATGGACGGTAAAAATCTGAGACAGTATGTGTAAAATGTACATGTATACTGACACATTAAAAGGGACAATTATGTCTACAACATAGAATAACACAATCAATATTCTCCTCTTGAAAAAAATAGAATGTAAGAAAAGTTTACTACAAAACAATAGCAAATTCCTATGGTTAAAATTATTCAAATCTATGGTTATTGTTTATTTATTATTAGACAAGAAAAAAAGTTAATTCCATAACGTCCCTTTCAAGATAATAGCAAGTCACAAATGAGCACACCTTTAAAATATCACAGAAAAACACAGACATTTTCATCAGGACGGAGTTGTTACAAAAGTATCAAAAGTATGTGTTATCAACATCAGTATGTAAACTTCAAACATGCATTCAATGTGTATTTAAACATGACTGAATAGTGAACAAGTTTTTGGTACCTAAGTGTTTACCAAATTAACATATATATATGTCAATGAACATGGAAGAAATTTTTACTTTACATGAAAAATATTAAAATGCGTATTTTTATCTCTCAAACAATTTAGCAATTATGTTCAAAAGTTGCCTATCAGTTTGTCCCAAACTCTATCAGCCTTGTAATATCAAAACTCTAGTATTAGTATGTACTATAAGTGATAATGTTAATTCAACACCTCGCTTTTACTGTATACAAAGTCTCAGATGTTAAATATATAAAATATTGTACATATAAAGTATTAACAAAATAACAAACAAGGCACAATCTATATAATACGGACGGATAATGTTAGTATACTATAGAACTACTTTTCCACTAATCCTGTAGAACCAAATAATGAGGTACAAGTAGCAACGAAAATAAAACAAATCCTGTTAAATTATAAACACGTAAAATAAATAAAACAAAACAAAAAATTCATAAAATCTTTTAAAAGCATAACATGAAGTAAAATGGCTCTTTGAAAAATATACAAATAACCTGAAATAAGTAAATCTGTGAATGTCCTTTAAAGCAACGTTTCTTACCTAATCAAATGATTTACTAATTTTGCTGACTATAATGATTATCATATGAGCCATGTCATGACAAAACCAACATAATGGCTTTGCGACCAGCATGGATCCAGACCAGCCTGCGCATCCACGCAGTCTGATCAGGATCCATGCTGTTCGCTTACAGACCCTATAACAAGTAAAGAAACTGATAGCGAACAGCATGGATCCTGATCAGACTGCGCGGATGCGCAGGCTGGTCTGGATCCATGCTGGTCGCAAACCCATTATGTTGGTTTTGTCATGACACGGCTCATATATTACTACATTGACCTTTTTACCATTAATAATTTTATCATTTCATTCTAGTCTATGGAAAAAAACTAACAAATCCCCAAGCTCACATCCTGCTTTTGTTCCTTAATGGATATAACTAGAGTTAAAGCCCTTTATTTAAGATTTCTTCACGTCTAGTGAAATGATTTTCAATGCAAAATATTCAGTATTTCTCAGTGCTTAAACCACTGATTATACTATAGGTGAATCAAACATGCATATCTCTGTTGGTTAATTCAACAAACTGAAAACAGGATGAATATTTTAAAAAAAATGTCAGAAAAATCAGCTATAGCATAATAACTTAAAAGCAAAAATTGCCATGGAATATAATAGAAATGACTTAAAACATTTCCCACTTGAGTATCACAGATAATGCTCACAACAGAAAAAAACATTAAAAGTTTGTAATGTTACTTTTCTATACATATCACATAGTTTGGACAAGTTGACAAATACAATGTATATATAAAACATGGGATGTGTCTAATCCAAATCTGAAAATCGCTATCTATACATATTTACATACAGGGGCTATACAGTATACAATAAAGCACGGAAAAGGTGACAGATTAATAAATGATTGATCAATCTTTAAGCTTTAAATTAACAGCACACACAATAAATAATAAGAAAAAATTTAGAAATGGATAATGAAAGAATTGCTGGTTTTCTTTAAGCGAAATTCTGATTAAGTTATATATGAATGATTAATTTAGTCCTTTATAACTGTATGATGAATTACAAAAATAAAACAATATGGATTTCTTATTTGTTATGAGCATAAAATGTTTAAACATTCAGCCTTATTCCATTTATTTTCAATATTATTGAGAGAAAAATGCATTTCATATGAGATTTGCAGGTAAAGTGATATTCTATGCAACTTAAAATTTCGTTTCATAAAAAGCATTGATGAATATTTCAGAGTGCTCTTCCTCAATGGAAAATAGATTAAGCAGTAAAGAGAACCCAATAACAAAAACAGCAAAGAAAAGTCTTAAAAGAAAAGAGAAAATATATTATATATACATTATAAGTAAGGTGCAACATTATTTTTTCCATTTATTAAAAAGATATTAATTTGCTTGTTTTGTATACACAACCCTGACTTCTGTCCTAGTGTATAACCACCACAACAAACAAATCTCAATTCAGAATGAAAATATAACCTCTGAAAACATCAATTCTTTTATATATCTATAAATCTTTATATCTATTTATCTGCTACAACCCATTTCCCAATAATATATTCTTTACACTTCAAATTACAACTGATTTCATCAATAAATTAAAAACATTATTTGGCAACAAGATAATTCATTACAACACTTAACATAAATGAACTGACTTTGATTCCGCATAGGTTATCAAAATACACTAAATACATCTGAACATCACATACATCTTGTTCTCTCTGCTTTATAACACCAAAGCAGATTAGCCCCTAACATTGGAACCAAACCAAACATAAACAAAATGTCTGCACTTCCAACTCTATACAGTTAATAACATTTTCAATTCAAAATTTTAAAAAGACCTAACTTTTTCACATAACTGTTTTTGTTGGTGAATATTTCATCTATTCAATTTGGATATAAATTTTCAATAGATTTATGTATATAACATGAAATTTCTAAAAGAATTTCTTTCAATTCATCCCAAAACAAAAACAAACTCGAACTAAATCTCATAAAAATATCTATTCATAGAAATAATAACATATCCTTATAGTGCAAAATAATTTACTGTAACTTGAAACTTCAATTCAAATTTATTCCTTTTTCTTAAAATGAAAAGAGTCAGAAACAATGTCCTTTTCTTCAAAAGCAAATACATAAATAAAGAAAACCTGCATCTTTTGCTCCAATGCCATATGAAAATCAATCAATGAAATAAATAATTGAAATGAAACTATTTTAACAGTCCAGGTGACTGAACAATAATAAACTGAATACACATTATATTCTAACATAAAATATAATGATATTTCTACCTCAATAATCTGAAAATAAACATAATTTTTTATTTACTTTACTCTGCTTATATAGCAATGCTTTTCTTCTTCATAAATAAGATTCCTTTAACAAGAAATAACAGCCATTCAAATCAGTGTAAAGTTGTTCAAATGAAATATAATGATGAAATAAACTCTTTTAAAAGATCTATAACAGAAAAGAAAAGTCTTTATATAAATCTGTCTGAAATAACACACAAATATGACTAAATCAAATCATCATTTATCCTTTCTCTAAACTAAGGTTATATCAGTAACAATTCTGTCTACACAACATAAGTCCCCTGTAATATTTTAAAATTTAAAATCTCATATTAACATCAATTTTGACATTTGTATATGGCAGCTGTCTGTCATTCATTTGCTCAAAGTAGCTAACTGTCTCAAAATCAAACCAATAAATTCAAAAATGGTTAATTTGCTCCTTCTGCAAGTAGATCCTATCAAGCACCTTGTTAGATAACTACATAAAAGCTGCATCTAAAACATTTCAATCAAATGCTCCTAATTGTAATAGATAAAAGAATCTCTATCAAACAACTAAACAAATTTTGGCAGCAAAACATAACCACTACATGGACCAGGAAAAAATTTGACAGACTGAAGATAAAGGATTAGCATATTTTACGTGCAGATCTGATGCTGAGGTTCATTTCCCATGCAGGAGTGATGTCAAGGACCATTTCCCCTTAAGAGTGATGCAGAGGTTCATTTTCCTTTCAGGCATAATGATGATGTTCATTTCCTCAGCAGGTGTGATGCCAAGATTACAACTGACTGGAACATTAGTTTCCCATTTTGTTCACAATACTGTACAAGTAAATTTAAAGTTACGAATAAATATGTGCAAGATGTCCCCATCTTCTTTCCATATTTTTGTTTTGCTTTCCTTTCAAATGCTGTGATCATCAAAAAATAAATCCCCACACTTGACAGGATTGTCTTAATCATTATTAAACAAAATATTTTGAAAACACTCTGAATAATTTTATCTTCTGAATCCAATTATAACTACATGCCGACTGATATTACCCATTACAAAAATATATTGAGTCATATATAAAAAAATGTGGACTTAAAAATAGTTCCCAGAACAAAACCTTTTTAAACTGAAAAACTAATGAACTATCAAATTCTCTGAAATCCTTAAGAATTAGGAATATAAATTGCAATGTACAACACTGTAAATAATGATACAAAATTTAATATCTAAAGTAAAGCTATTTGCCATTTTTAAAAAAAAATATGAAAAAAAAAAAAAAAATATCTGTGGTTGTCACCAATATTAATCAGGCAAAATAATACCTAAACTTCAAATAAATGATTGCTTTGAAATATCATTGAAGTTATGGGTTTGTGTAGTCTTTAAAGTTTAATTTAAGAAATTAATACGGTCAAATTTATCAAGTTGATACAAATTATTACTTCAAATCGACTAAATAATTGAATCAAGTTGGTCCCTGTTGTATGGCAAACAGTTGGCATTTTGTTCAAACAAATTTTAATATTCTTTAAATCAACACTTTATTTACATAGTTTCAGCAGTTTTTTTAAACTGATTAGGAAAAAACTGTCTATTTCTACCTAATGAGCTTTCTGCTGCGATAACACACTGTTCATATTTTGTCTTATTTTATCTGTTTTTTGTCTCTCTTGTAAATGTCTTTGCTCTAGAGTCCGAATATCAATAACATCCATTGTCTGAGTGGGTGGGGGAGTAGCTTTTGTTCTAGTTGGGGATCGGGCCTTATTGCCACTGGGTCCTGGAGTAATCTGAGCAGCCACCTCATAGGAGTTGTACTGGTTTGGCCGCTGTTTTACTGGTGGTTTGGGTACATTTTTAGCATACTCTAAAGCCTGGAAAAAATCAATCATAATGTTCATAATTTGATGAAAAATACAAACTTTAAACAACAACTAAAACAAGAGCACTGCATGCCATTTTAACGTTCAGCTGTCAAAAATTCTTAGTTAAAAAGGGGCATAACTCTTAAAATATAGCTTTCAGAATTACACCTCTTGTCCAACAACTGTACCTTGTCATCATGACAAGCAAGTACATGTATTCCAAATTTCATGTTGATAATTTCTTTAATGTTTGAATGGGCTACTTGATAATTTATAAATGTTTGAAAGGGCTACATTAAAGTCTTTGCATGACCACAACAATGATGCTGATACCAAGAGATCATAATAGCTCAGTTTTTCATCACATTAGCACAATAACTGGTTAACTCCTACGGTATTAAATTTAGAAGCACTGAACCCATTAATGCAGTAAGATGAGTTTTGTTTTCTTTGAAACTGACAAGTTCAAATGGACTTTATCAATCAAATGGCAAAATAATGTAGAAAATTTTGTATAGATGGTTGAAGTTTTATGGCAGTGAAACATTTTTTTTTCTGATTTTAACGCTTCATTACAACAGCATGATGGGTTGTGCTTTTGGAAGCATGTAATTGTTCAGTACATGTAGTACAACCTTAAAGGTGGATAGTGCATTTGACTGTCCTTGGTGCTTTGTTGTAAAAGAAGACAATAGTTATGACATAACAGGAATGTTCACCAAGTTCAAAAAGATTAATAATTCAAAGAAAATCAATATGCTCAAATGATGGGTATTCAACATCGGTGAACTGCGACCATTGCCATGACGACATGTGACTGTGTGAGGTTTCAAATGAATATCTCCAGCGGGTGTGAAAATGGAAATTGGATGATAAATATTACATAAACAAGTTCACATAAAAGAGGATTATTAATTCAGAAAAAAAAGCTTGCCAGAATTACGGGCATGCATATCTTATAAATATGACATACATAAAATTCCAGGCAAAAAGTCTTCAGGAGTTGAGGAAATAGAACATAAGAAATTTTCACCAATGCCATGCATGGTTGAATAAGGTTCGGTATTCTTTAGTTAAAGCTGCATGCCTCCAGATATACGAAAATAGATCAATAAAATCTACCTTGAGAAAAATGTACTAAGATTTTAGGAACAGTAAAAATATTCAAGATTCATGTAATAATTTACATTTTATGTGCGATTAATGACTGATTTATCAGTATTTATAACTATATTTCTACTGCGTTACTAACACAGTTAAAGGGCTATTTTTCAATATTTTGTCCTCTTTTTTTTGTTATATACGTAGGTTGTAACTGCCATTAATAATGCTTAAATTGCTTCATTTTGGTTATTTCACTGAATAATACTTTGAAACATATTTTCAAATTTTTCATGAAAATTAGCATGAATCTGGAGGCGTGCTGCTTTAAGCTAAATCAAGGCAAGAAATAGTAACAGGACCTGCCATGGCTATTTGCAATCAAAAGAAAACAAATAAATAACATGCCTCAATGGTCAAACTTACAGTTTTTCTTTTGACACCCTCTTCCCCTGGCTTTTCAGGTTGCCTTGGAAACTTGGGAGGCTTTTTATGTCCTAATTCCATTCTATTCTTCTCCATAACCATCCTTGCATATTCAAACTGCTTATGCCTCTTTTCCATCTGTCAACAAAATATTTACAAGTGATAATTTCATGACAACACATATTAAGAACATTATCTTAGAACAAAAAACACAGTGAAATTCTAACAACCAAAAACCCACGCTGGGAATTTATTGATACTTTCAAGTAAAGCTTTATCCCAAACATTTCGCTAGATGACAGTTGAGTAGCTTCAACATGGTAAAAAGGCCATGATGATTAATTACCTCAATGCATTTTTGCAAATTTTAAGTACTTTTAATAGCTTCGTTACAGACTTTAAATATTTTTTTTTTAAAATAACGTGCATAAATTTGTTTTAAATTTAAATGAATCACTGACATGTATTTTAAATATCCATGTCAATTTAGTTGTTAATCTTTCTTTGACAAAAATAAAAATTCTGAGCAAGAACTACAATTTCAATGACTCAATGCTGTACATTTTTATGAACTTCAACCACCCTATCATACATTATAAACTTGTATAAAAAAAACCCAAAAAATTGTTAATTAAAGGGACTCAATTAAGGTTTTTTGACATGACAGGACTGGAAATATTTTTTTCAGAGATTTTTGTACAAACTGACGTAGTTCTGGACCAGTTATTTGTGTGCACATTTTCAGCTCATTCCCTCTCTCTCCGTTTTTCCAGAATGATCATTTTTAATGTGCAAAAGGGCCCAAAAATAACAAGTGTTGCAGAGCTTTTTGTTCAAAACCCGATAAGAATTGTACACAAAATTTGATTTCAACTTTATAATTCTGAGTTTATTTATTGGTTATTCTTTGCAGAGTTTTCCATTTTAAGTGCTTCTCTTGATGCTTTTGAAATTCGTTAGATTTTGAAATTTTATGTTTTATGTTTGGACCTTAGTGGAGTTCCTTTAAAATTAAGTTAGTTAAACAATTAAAATTAATAGTTAAATTATTATCACTGTTAGCATTCAGAGATTTAACATTTGCCAAAATAAATATCTTAGTACTAAAATTGAGCTACAATTTTGCGTCTAGTCAGATTGTACAAAGTCACAGACACGTCTGGTTCTAAGATGATTGTTGACATTTGCTAGTTATTATTACTGGACGTATTTAGAGAATCAGCCCTTAACTTTGTCTATTTCCTTCCATAAAAGTATAAGTTATATTTATTTAATATTATTGAAGTGAAAAATAAGCATCAATCTGTTTTACAACAATGCAGTTCCTGAGATTCTGAGAAATGTCCCTGGTAAATAGATTGTAATTTGATAAAATAAAAGTCTGGCAGTGAAAAGTTGATATATATATTTATAAAAGGGCAATGACTCCACTAAGGAAAATTTTGAATTAAAATTTATAAGCAAGTAAGACTTGAAATTGAGCAATTTTCACTGTAAGTTAAGAGAAAATCTACTATTTTGTTGCCAGTCAGGCAATTTAGGACACTGCAACTCTGTAATCAAAAAAACTCTAAAACCTAAACTAGGGCTTAATGATGTAATGAAAAATAATTCAATAGAACGATTTTGTTTGGCCAAGTTCATTTACCTTTCTCATCATTTCTACTTTGTTACTTTATCTAACCCGTTCTGACAAACAACCCAACATAAATTTTACTTATCCTTGCATTATTTTCTACTCTGTACAGCCGTATTTGCTTGATGAACTGAATTTTAATTTAATAACCATGTTACATGATTCGTAAAAGTAAAATTTAGCAAAAAGTTGTGGTGATGTTTGAACTGATCATAAATCATTTGAGCCGTGCCATGACAAAATCAACATAATGGGTCATGATCATGATCCATGCTGTTCGCTTACCAACCCTATAACAAGTAGAGAAACTGATAGCGAACAGCATGGATCCTGATCAGACTACGCGGATGCGCAGACTGGTCTGGATCCATGCTGGTCACAAACCCACTATGTTGGTTTTGTTGTGACGCGGTTCAAATTTATTTTATTTTGCAGTTACTGTATGCCTTATAAGTTATTTCCGTTATCATTGCATAGTTTACAAGACTAGAATAGTTTTTCTATTTAAATACTTAAATAATGTCATTAAATAAATCACATTTCATTATTATTTCAAAATTTAAGACCTATTTTCATATCTAAAAATGTTTTCAAATTTGGCAGTCTCAAACCCTTTCAGAAAAGAGGTAAAAATAAATCTGTGTGAAAAATTTAAATTAGGACCATACCTTATCTTTGTAGGATTCTGTGTCAAGGTCTGGTCCGAGCGTGCCTCTATTGAGGCGGACCTCACGTTGCATTTTCTTGTAGTCATGTAGGTTATATATCTTATACCATGGATGCTCACTCGGGTCCTTGCTCTTCATCTTGTGGTAAAGGGAGGCATACCCTTCCTCCAATGATTTCTGTACAAACAATAAATTTCATTACTTTCTTGTCAAATGTTTTTGGTAGTCAGTCTATAGATGGACAGTGTTGAACTGATAAAGAAAAATCTTTACCATATGCCTCAACACCCTCCCCTGCCATAAGTAGGCCATAAAAGAATCTTCCCATGAACGTAACAAACATTTTCTCACTTTCTAAAAAGACACATTTCTTTAAAATCAAATTTGATCTTATCTGAAATTTCAGTAATTCTTTTAACATAAATAGCCTTCTCGAACAAAAAGCCTCAAACTGCCCTCTCTACTAAAGTGTAGGTAGCATATAGAAATCATCTTTAAACATATAAAGCTAGTGTAGTTCATACAAAAGTCAAATACATGTAAATATGATCATTGATCAAAATAGCAATACTTACCAAATCACTGTTGTTATCTAAATCATCCTTGAAGCTCACTGAGCCCGGCTGATATTTCTTCGAATAACTTGTCGGGTCAACGAGTGCTAGCTCCTCTGCCGTATACTGGTTCCCATCTATAACATGATCGGTTCCATAACCATTATTGTATTGCTGGCCCTGGTCCTGTAAATTGTAAACAATTACTTATTCACAATACCTGCACATCACTGAATTTGTTTCATCAAACGAAATTGAAATTTTACTGATATGTATATAATTTTTTTCATTTGAATTCTATTCCTTTTAAATAAGCACATGTATTCTACAGCTAGCAAGCCAACGCCCCGGCCTGCAAGCCATTGACATCCCTGTATAATGGTGGCATACATGATGGTTAGTATACATTTTTTTTCTATTTTTTATTATCAATTTCATTTGGTGCATACAATGTTTGACTAATAAGAGTAAATTATGTATAATTCAGGTCATCTTAATTACAAAATTGATTATACACACTTCAAATTACACTATGACGAGACCTTGAATATTTATGAAACTAAATATTTCTCAAAATTTATACAAAATTTGTGTTGTTCTGTTTCTATTTGACTACAATTAATATATTATTGGAGCAGTCTTGGCGATTAATAAACATTAACACTTATGTATTTGAATACTAGATTAGAACATAAACTTTATAAAACGTACTCACCTCTTGATAACCTGTGTTGTACCCATCATTGTAATTTCCATAACTATCTTGCATTTGGTATGGAACACCTGTTCCATACTGCCCTTGTGTTTCTTGAACTGGAAGTAATGCTAATTGCTGAGTTTGTTGTTGTAAGGGAGACCCTGCACCAGAATGTCCTGGAGGCGGACTTATTAATCGCAGGTTAATATCAACACTAATTCTTTGTCCGTCCTCTGTTGTGATTTCTTGTGATATAGGTTTTAATTCCATGTGTCGTCGAAACGGAGAAGAAGGGTTTATTGCTAAGGGAACCATTTCTGTCGAGGCTGGAGCTGCCGGCCTGTTTTCTAATGGCTGAAGCTGACGAGTTGGCGTGCTATACCCACCTTGTTGTTGGGAATAACCACTCGGTTGTTGGGAATAACCCCCTTGATCCTGAGCACTGCCAGGATTGTATGCACCAGTTGGTTTAAAAAACTGACCTTGATTTGGAAGTGGAGCTGGGGCCTCAAATTTATTTGCCTGTTTAACTTGTGGATTAGTGTTCCATCTCGGAACAGATTTACTTGCACTAGCTTTAGCTGGTTTACCGCTCTGTGCTGAGCCCTTCTTCTGTGAAAGCATTTGTGCTCTCTGTGCCCACATCTCCTCAGCTGATGATGGTTTGAAACCCATTGGGAAATTGTCTGGAGCTTGGTAACCCATATGTTCAGGCTGTGCTGATTGGGCTTTTTTATGTTTCTTTTTAGGTTTAGATGGTAGTTTAGGTGTTATAAATATATGATCTAATTTTTCTTCCTCCTCTTTTTTTTTATGAACAATATTGCGATATGTTTTTCTTTGATTTTTTCCATAATCATACTTATTTTGTTCAACATAGTCAACTTTAGGAGCTTTTGGATTAACAATATCCATTCTTTCAACATCATCAGGATCATAAAAGTCTGGTTTAGAATCCTGTTTACTAAATCCATCTGGGAAATAGGCAGGATTATCTTGGTACGGATTTTGAGGAGGATTTTCCCATTCTTGTTGTCGTTGACTATAATTAAAATCTAACGAATCCTGTACGTAACCTCCTTCACGATCATCTGATGGATATTCTAAAGAATCTCTAGGAAAGTCATTTTCTTTATCATAACTTTCCCTGTCAAATCTTTCCCTTTCTTTTTCATATTGTTCCCTTTCATACATTTCTCTTTCATATCTTTCCTTTTCATATCGTTCTTTTTCATCACCTTTCATTTTTATACTTTGCTTTTCAATTCTCCTTTTCAAATCCTTTTGATATTCAGCCTCTTTTTGTAAATCACGTTCATCCATTTCAGTGTTTTGCTTTTTATAACCTCGACGATACTCCATTTCATCTTCACGTCTTGGCTCCCTTTCATATTCCCCTCTTTCATCGCGTAATCTTTCATACCTATCTCCACGATCATAATTCATTTTTTCTCTATACCTGTCACTTTCTCTGTGTCTATCCCTACTATTTCTATCATTACTATATCCATTTCGCTCTTGTCGTCTGTCATCAAATCTATCTCTGTCAGATTCCTCCCCATTACGGTCTTGATTTCTTTTATCGTATCTGTCTTCATTCCTATCTTCATACCTATCTTTATCATAGCCCCTATTCTGGTTGTCATAATCACTTCCAGGTTTTCTATTATCTCTGTAACTATCACCCCGATTATTACTTTCCTTTGGTCGGCTCCTGCTTTCTGAATAACTATTACCAGGGTTATCATCCCCACCATAGCCTCTGCGTGAATTATCCATTTCTCTAAAAGTTTCTTTATTGTCGTTTTCTTCGAGTCTGCTACTAACAAATCTGTATTCTTCTTCTTCCTCCTTTGTGAATGATGGAGATTCTACATAAACACGTTTTATGGATTGATTATCGTCTTGCGTACGTTTTGTTCCTCTACTTCCTGGTTTAGAGTGAAGTGTGTCTAGAGGGGGGTGTTGAGGTGGTAAACTATGTTTTGAAGTATTTGATTGTTCCCGTGACTTTCTTTCCCTTCCGTTGTCCCAATCTGGAGGGGTTGTTGGTAAATCTTGTTCAGGAGATTTTGCATAAGGTGTTGGAGCTCTGTCTTTTACAGGGCTTCCACCATATGTCCTGTTACTTAAACTTGGAGGACGCTGACTATTTGAATCAAATTTTACACCACTTTGCACAGAATTTCTGGCATTTGAGTTAGAATGTTGTCTGTTAATATAGTTATTTTCTGACTGAGGTTCAATACCTTGTGCACGAAGAACCTCTGGGTTAGCTACAGCATACACACTACTATTGCTACGAAGACTTGTTGCAGGTTCTTTAACTGGTGGTGGTGTGGTTTGAACAGGGGGAGATGGGGGTTTAGGATCTCTTGCAGAGTCCTCACCTTGAAATGCCTGAGTGTCAAAAGGATAGGGAACTTTTAAATCATCTGCTAAGTCTGACCTATGTGGTTCTATACCTTCTGGTTCTTGTTGACGGTCACGATATGTATCTTGGTCATCGTCTAAATGTCTGAAATTGTCAGAAGATTTTACATGTGGTATTTGAGAAGACAACTTAGGACTTGCTACTTCGTAAGTCCTACGAGTAGAAGAATTATAATCACGAGAAGAGAAATGAACAATAGAACTCTTTGGATCAGAAGCATGCAATTTCTGATCCTTTAAAACATGCTGGGTGGCAGGAGTTGGAGGAGAAGAAAGGTTTACAGGTTCAGGTAAACTGACACCACTTAAGTCTAAAGGTGGAACAAGCTGATCTTGAGTATTAACTCTTAAAGGCGTTCTGTCTCTACTCAATCTTTCATAATGTGAACTTAAGCTCAAGTGAGTTTGCTGCTGAGATAATAAGCTGTGATCACGTGCCCGCTGCTTATCAAGCTGTGAATTCTGTCTTTTATGTGAAGTGTTTTCTCTAAAACTACTCTGATGTGCAAATTGTTTATCACTATTTTCATGTGCAAATTGTTTATCACTACTCTTTTGTGCAACAGATATATCACTTTGATTAACAGTATTGTTTCTTTCACTTTTAATTGCTTTAATCTGGGAGTTTTGCCTAGAATTTACACGAGAATTATTATTAGTGTTACCACTCCCAATCACATCATCCTTAACAAAACTCTTTGTTAAACTATCACCATGCTGTTGCAATTGTCCACTTTCAGATTTTTCACCAGTGAAACCAGAGTTTTGATTCTCTTTAGCTATTTCAGACCTTGATCTTTCAGAATATTTTTGACTCTTTAAGGACCTGTATGCATAAGCATTGCTATGGGGGCTATCAGGCTGTTCAAAAATTCCTTCACTTTTTTCCTGATTAAGTTCTGAAGTGTTTGCCTTTACAGACTCAGTTTTCTTTGATTCTAAATTATTAACAGTCTCTGATTCTACTGGTGATTTAGAATGATTATTATCATGAACAAGCGTGTGCTCTGGATTAGTCGCAGTTTTTAAGCTTTCAGAAGACTTGCTAGCATTAATATATTGCAAATCTTGCTTTTCTTGGTTAGTTTTATTATTAGATACATTTACAACATCAACATGAGATGGTACAACATCTAAAGCAGGAGAATAAACTGACGCAGTGCGCTGTGCATGTGCTAAATTCCCATTGGACTTTTCCCGTAATATTGCACTTAAAGCAGTGTTTTCTGTCTTAATCCTTCCCTGCGAAGCTGATGATCTAGGTGTAGTGCGTGACGAGTATGACATTGACATATTACCTCTGAGCCTCCATGGCTTAATTGGAAGAGCTTGTCTCTTCCCAGTAAAAAATGCATCAAAAAATATTCTTCAGATGACGACCTGAAAAATATCACAAAAATCTGTTGATATAATTCATAATACTGCTTCAGGATTTTCATGCTTACAGTAACAGAAGATTAGTTGATATTTACCAATCCATTTTGGTTTGTAATCATGTATGTGTGCGTGTGTGATTAATTAACTTATGACAGGCGTTAACTTCAGGATTTTACTTTCACTTGTCTTAAATCTATCCATCTTTCTCCCAGTGCAAAATAAAGAGACTAAGGCCTCTGCTAAATTAAATGAGAAAAACTGGTCCAGAAAAACCACTGCAGTGCAAACGGGTTGCATGTTCAATTGTTCATAAAACTGATGTTTGTTTATGTTGAAAGCAAAATATATGTAATATTTTTCTCTAATCTAAACATTAAGAAATGAAGAATTAATCAAAATTATCAAAAATTCTTTGTATTTTAGGTTTGAAGTCACAATAAGCACTATCAGTATCAAATAGCACCTTAATTCATGTTGATGCAGATAATGACAAGCCTTTCCATTACAGCATATATTACTTGAAATATCAGGGTGGGTGACCATGCGGCATATGTTTATTATATCATTGGATCACCGCTAATGACCAAGCAGGTCTGTGGTACATATTTTTCAAATGTAAATCTTGTGGTTTTCACAATATGCTTACAGAATTTTGTGACAATGTTGCTGTATATTTTCATCAAAATATGGCTACATAAAACAATTACTGCAAGAATAACAAATGCCATGTCAATTAATCTAATCCTCGCCTCCAGGCGTAGCTTAACCTGAAAGTGACGATACAGTTACTGCTTATAATTGACTGCAATTAACACATTTAAGTGACATGATATGCAGATCGATCCATTGGAGATAATAATTTGCCCTCTTTAAATTTGCAAATGTAAACAGCACAATAAATTGAGCATAATTTATAAAATACCTGCCACTTTTTAATCGGCAAGTTTGAAAAGTTTACACACGGAATAGGTCTTCCCAGATTTAACAGTAACTACACGCAACGCCACACCAAACATGTAAATTTACTTGCATATAAATTAATACACGACAGGAGCACAAGTAAATTAGCTCGATACAATTATGTTTCCATATCGAGAAAAAAGGTTGCATCTACATGATGCTGCTTAACAATCAATTCTGTAACAAGTTGTTTTAGTTTCATTGATGGTTTGATAGAACAATTATTACTATCCTAGCTATAATTATGCTGAACACCAGTCCTGTGCCCTGGTTATGTTGTGATTGTGATTTTAATATCAAATTTTTACCTTGCTTTAAATTTACCAGTGTAATGACCATTATTCATAAATGTTATTATCATATCTAAATCGAAGCAAACGGAGGAATTGTCTTATAATTAGTGGTTAAACCCACAGGCGCTAGTCACATAATCAAATATTTTACATAACCGGTCTATATATGTATATAAAGATATAAGGCCCCCAACGAAACAAAAGCATCATGCGGAACAAGCAAGAACACTGCTGCAAGAAACGACCAGATCACGGTTATCTCTTCCTGGTCGCCATCTGAAAGCATCAATCCAAGTGCCAACGCTTTTTGTTTCATTAAAATCCCTCAAATAGCAAAGAAATTGGGAAAAGTTTCGCAAAATGCCATTATTTTCAATTCATGCCGTTTTCGACGTCCATACCATTCATGTATACAAACACGATTTCTGGTCGATTTTTACGAAATAAACAAAAAACGGCTAGAATTTCCATGTACGTTCCATAAACAAACTCTTTTCCTATCGATCTGCGAAGTCTTAACTGATCAAAAGCCCTATTCATACGTAATTCATTAAAAAATACACAAGGATCCTGCTTGTGACAGTATTTTATCGCCATGTATAGCGCATGTATATACTTTTCCGCTCTGAATATTATATAAGGATTTGATTGGTTAAGATAATTATCGGAATACTATTGACCAATCGTATAATACTATTTCTTTGCTTCATTTACCTGTCACTTCAAAATCAAAATGGCGCACTTTACTTGACCTCCGCTTCTACAACCAATATTTTTTAAATATTTGCGTACAAAGAGGGCTCTAGTTCAATTTAGACTTCGCAGATTGATAGAAAAAGAGTTTGTTTATGAAATTTATGAGGAAATTTTAGATGTTTTCTATTTATTTCGTAGAAATGGACCAGAAAACGTGTTTGTATACATGAATAGATTGGACGTCGAAAACGACATGGATTGAAAATATTGGCATTTTGTGAAGCAGATTTCTGCACTGATTTGAAGATTTCGTTCGAAACAGACGAATATAGAGCGCTTCACGACTATTTGCGCAGGTAGGTAATAGAAACTATGTTGTGTTATTGTTTGCATGCGTTTATTTGTACCTCCCTCTTTTAAAATTGATATTTTACCCGTGGAATTTGGTGTTGCGACATCTCGTACGACTAAGCAATTTTGTGACAGAAGTGAACGGTTTTGAATAAATTTCTTAAAATGGGCTAAGGGAATCAGAATAGATTTAGTGTTTATCAATTGTGGATTATATAAGCTATGCAACGCAGTATAGTTTTTGGAATTTTTTTATTTAATTAGTGAAAAAATCTCGCATGAATTTGAGGGTGATCGAAAATTCTCTATTTAGCGAGTAATGCCCCTTGTCTATATTTATATACATATTATAAGGTTATGACTAAAATCTCATTTTTAGGTCACTATCAAGCAGTATATACCATCCAAACACTGTGTGGGCCCCCTGTGGTTTCTTGCAGCAGGGTTCTTGTTTGTTCAGTATGATGTTTGTGTTCTGTTGGAGACCTTATATCTTATTATAGTATATACCCCATATAAAACTTTAAAAAGTTTGTTTCAAGCACCTGTGGTTATACCGTTACCTCTGCTGCCAAGTCCTGGAGACTTCGCGAGTCGCTAGTCAGAGGGAAAAATACAGAGATTTAAAAGTGAGATCAAAGTTTAAAATAGACAGAAGCAAGACATGTGTGTATTTAAATATACGAAAAATAAAATAACATGTATTTATAACTGGAAACGAGTTCAATCGAAAATCTAGAAAAAGAACAATCAACAAATCAAAATTATGTCCATGATGTCGGTCAATCATGTTTACCTTTGCGATTTCATAAACGAAATAAAGAAAAACAAAGACAAATATCCGTTATTTCCTTACTTTCCCTTTATCCTTCCCTAACCGTGAATTATAATTAATTCACTTGACAGCTACACTCATTACACGTAAATAATCTTTTATTAAACATGTTTGTTCAATACACAGGAAGATGGCTGCCAAAATATATCCCACAATTCCTCAACTATTTACACGTTGCCATGGATGACTACGTGCGCTACAAAGCACTCCGCGTTTCAATTATCTTCCTCGACGTTAGGTAAACATACACTAAATTAAGGACGGAGTCAGACGACCAATATTGAATGACTTAGCAAAAAATATATGTTGTATTAGCCAAATATTTTACTTGCAAAACTTTCGCCAAAAGAAATAAAATTTTGCGAGTTGCTGTAGCTGAGAAATAAATATAGGCCATACTGAAGGTACAACGTAATAAATTTAACTAGTCCGCTTTTATGTCTAGATCTAGTTTTGTCGTTTTTCTTCTTCTTTAATTTAAATACGTTGTATTTTAAAGTTTATTAATCATCATCAACCGCAACAAAAACATTTTCTACATTATCATCATAACATCATTATATATCATCCTCATCATCAGCATCAACAGCAACGTTATCTAAACAACAACACCAATGCCGCCACAAACATCATCATCATTATTATCACCCTCATCATCAGCATCAACAACAACATTATAATCAACAGCACCAATGCCATCACCACCATCATCAACATAATAAAATATCATATCAACGGAACCACGTACCACTATATCATCACCAGCTTCATCTTCTTCCCACCGTCATCATCATAACAAATCCACCATCAAAATCATCATTATATTATATCAACATTATTATTTAACTCCCGCCGTGGGGCAATATTTTGATTTTTTCTAGCTGATCAGTTGACATTTAAAAAAAACCATATAGATCTTTTCAAAACAATGCCCCGTAGATATTTGATGCCTCGCGTGTATTGTGACTGTATATGTCCTTTAAAATATGAATTCTATACATTAGATTTTTTTATATCAAAATAACATAAATCTAAATTGTATTTTGTGAATACAAAATGTGCTGAATAATAATTAAACTTATTTTGTAATGACCAAAAAAAAATCTTATAAGGAATGAAAATGATACATTATACTGAAAATCGGGTCAAACCAAATCACCTAAATCATTTTGTGTTTGCATTTCTAGACACTATATATGGTATCAAAGCACTTATTAAAGCATATTAAAATATTTTGTGAGTGTCCACGCACTTTAAAATATACGATGGATGAACCTTATTCTTCAAAATGGCAACGTTTTCAACCAAGCTCTCTCTCTAAATGTATTTGAGAAGACTCTGGGTCAATTTTGGAAGTGATAACGTTGTTGTCTTTTTTTCAAATTTGAAATGAATTAAAAGCTTTCATTTCAATCTGTTTGATAAATATAGAAACAAAGGCTTATTTTCTGTTTCTTAGCATTATAAATGTATAGCTATTCCAATCAAATGTTAGGAGGAGTCTAAACAATTAGTTAAAAATAACATAACGCACACAATTAAATGCCTTGTTTCTAAGTATTAATTTGGAGAGACAATTTTAGTCTGAAATTCTCATTTTCGTTACTCAAAATAGCTTTGTGCTTTGATTTATTATTCGTGAACCATTTGGAAAGAATGGAGAAATATGTTTCTTTTTGAAGTCTTGAAACAAAACACACCAATTGCTTGAATTATAATTAAAACTTTTCATGGTTCTTCTCTCAAGGGTATCTTATTAAACTTAAAATGCCGAGACAGAAATCTTGCTTCCTGCAAATCTATTGCTAGATCTATGTAAAGCTACAAAATAACCTGAAAGATGAACGCATGTTGATCAGTGAAAAAAATATCTGGAAACAAAGTGATCCCTCGGAGGAATTAATTACACCAAAATTACATGAAAATTGCAGACTCGGTTTGGTTGAGTCTGTATATAAGGGATAATGAATAATTGCAACATCCCATCTGGACAATGATGTTTAAAATTTCCAAAGTTTGAAAAAAAGGACACCACGATCATGATTGTGCTCCAAAGGCATTCTAAATACTCTGGGAAAGTTTTATTGTAGTACGCTAATATGTTACTTTGTTTCGCTGGTTATTATTAAGATGTTTTGGTACGTAATTTAGACAAATTTATTTTAACTTCAAAAACCATAAAAGTGATTTTGTTCGCGAGAAATTAAATTTTATTGTATTAGCACATAACAACATAAGATGGAGATCAAACAAAGACCGCATTCAATTTATAAGCTTGTTTTCTCCTCACGTCACATAGAAATTTTCGCCTATCTGTAAAATAATATGACATAGCCAGGCATTAAATACATATTATTGTGATACTTTGTACTGCTTTAATTTATACCTAATATTATTTTTCGAACATCTAGTTCTTTACACCCCCTACCACCAGCCACTACTACACACACCGTCTCCTCCCCATAACATCTCCAATACCATTCATGGAAAGAACACTGTGGCAGATCAGGTGTTGCAATAAGATTATTTATTTTCACATAAAAAGTTCCCTTGACCAACTAAAGGCGAAAAATTCTAAAATGCTTATTAAACATTTAGCATTATATTGACCCAAATTAGCCATATTTTATCTTGTAACAGGCAATTCATCAGTTATTACCATCCACGATTTTAGTCACCTCTTTTTTCATATAATGATATATAGCATACATGATTTTAATTTTCTTTCGGTATAGATCAATAGCTAATGCATTACACTTTCTGGACCGAATACTGTATATTTTAATAAAACCGGTATTGACATAACGTAATTTACACTTCAATTTGATTAACATGACTTGAATTCGTTAAAAATTCACACGTAGATAAATATTGTTCGTCAATGACAAAGGCCATTTCTTTACTTTCTAATTAAACAAAATCAACTTAATGCTATTTTTTTTCTAATAATAGGTCAACTTGTTTGATTAAGTTCTGAATGGTTGCATAGAGAGCAAATATGTGATCGCTCCGTACGGTTTAAAGGCACATTATGCCCCGGAAATCGCATATTTATTAAATTCTTAAGAAACGTCAAATATGTGTTTAATAATGTTTTAATAATAGATTAAGAGCATGTAAGATGTTTAACAGCTGGTGAAAGTAGCGCTAAATGTACTGTGCTGTAAAACTAGCAAATTGTAAACAAAGTAGTATTTTGACTTCCATACAAAATACTTATTCACTATAATAATTATACTAATTACCAAGAGAGCAAAAGAAGCAAAGATAGTAAATCTATATGGCAAATGAGTACCTTTTTGAATATGTAACAAGATACCAACAATTTAAATTGTGAAATAAATTCAAATTCTTTATTTCTCTCAGTGCATCATACATGATACAAACATAAGGTATATAACAATTAACATTTGTAAAAACGGCAATACATACATGGCAAGTCATTTACAGAGAACAATCACAATACATAAAAAGATTAACCATCTATTGTTTATTTATTTTTTCTTCTTTCGTTCAGTAGGAAGTAAATTATTTAGTGTATTTAGTGTAATGATTCTGCAGCGTAATTAATATGTATAAACAGCTGATTTGACCACGTGTTGAAAATAACCTAAAATGATGTCTATTTCACATAATCATCTTTTGACACCTGTCATGCATAATATCGGGCAAACGACAGTATTTTGTTTTTATAAGAGATTTAAACTGATTGTAAAGTTTAATGTATCGAAATTGTGTCGACTGAATTTTAACACATTTTTTGCGGGGTTTATTTATTTCCTTATTTCACGGGCCTTAAGTTACGCGGTCTCACGTGGGGTTTTAGTTATTCTCAGAAAGTGTTTATGGATTTATTTCTACTGGAATTAAGCAGTGTTCTGAAGTTTGCAAGTGATTTTTTAAAAGTGATAACATTTCTTAGGCATAATTGGCCTTTAAGTTGTCAATCATTATTGATATTATATAATGACGTCAATTCACGCATTCTAATCCATTGTCTTAACTTCACAAGTCCTGTGAGTGCGGTGTTTTACCCTTGGGATTATTGCGCTTTCAAACTCGTATCAAAAGTTAAGTGTTGTGCAGCCGAAAAATGATAAAATTCATTTAAAAAAAAAAAAAAAGAATAAATATGCATGATGATTTTCTTTTAAACACAAATATTTATATATATAATCATTTTCTAAAAGGTCATATTTTTAAAACAAAATTTGTGAAATTTCAAATATGTTAAGTTACAAATTGTATATATGTTTCAATAACAGATGTCAAATTTAAAATTATGTAACTGGAAGATTAAAATGCGGCTTTTCCTCTTTGTCCAATCAACTGTGCTAAACGTTTTATAATATATAGGTGATAAGGTCAATTAAGCTGTCTGTTCTTATCATGTTGTTAAACCTTATGACTGATAAAATATCCGGGTGATGATTGTTGTTATAAATTCTATGTTGCTATGTTACATTATTTTGTATTGAAACCTGATTGGTCATTTTGTTATTTAAGACACAAAAATGTTAAAATTCTATTGGTCAGTTAAAACGAAATCAATTTTAGAATTATTGTAAAGATACATGTAGAAAATTTAGGGTGAGTTAGATTTTGGATTTCCAAGTGAAAACATTGTATTGTGGCTTTCCACTAGAAATAATTGTTACTGTTTTTAATATCAATTTGTTAACATCAGGATAACCTGTGTGTATATGTTATATATTATCTGTGGTATTCCACTAAGAGAGAAACATTAAAATATAAAACGGAACATTGTGTTGTGATTCAATCCACATTCAGTAGAACCTATAAAACAGCGCATAACACGTGGCGGGAATCAGTGTCTTTCCCAACCTCTCAATTTAGCAAGCGAGACTACGAATTCAAATTCCCCAAGAAGAACAACAATGACTTTCACATATGGAATACCATTCAGAAGTGAAAAATCATGTGGACAATGTGGACTTTATCATAATAACAGACGGGAGAAGTGTTGTGCAAAAATGGCAAGATGCAACAAATGTAATAGAATTGGACATTTTGCACGAGTTTGTCTACGTCCAGCAGTTAGGCAAAAGTCAAACCAATCAAAACTACGCGATCAGGAACGCATGACAACTTTCATCAGACGCAAGACAGCTGAATACACATTTCCATTTTATAATGAA